GACTGTGTTGTGTTTTTATGTAAGTGGCAGCTGGGAGCCTCTTATTGTGGAGAGTCACAATCATGGCCCCCAGTCAGATAAATTAGAGTCATATAACTTATATGGTTTGTTTATACATTATGGCACTAAGGAGGCTGCGCTTCTGAGGAGAATCAGGCAGTGAATCAAGTGATAATAGTGTATATGGTATGATGTAAGTCCAACAGGGAGGGAATAAAGTTGTGTTAAAGCTGTTTAAGAACACTGACAGTAGTTTATCTACAGCAAAAAAGCTGTGAAACAGTCGGATGTTCAGTTGAAGGCTGGTACCTACAGTGGAGGTCATACTCCGCAGCTATTTTACCTGACGTGATAATGATGACAGATTCTCTTTTATCAAGCCTTCACTATCTCTGACACGTTTTAAAAAAGGGTTAAAAATTAATGAAAAGCACCACAGCGGTCCTTTTAATTCATGGCTATATCTGTTATAGCTGTCTTTTCATGGTTCTTTCATGATAGTGTGAAACTTCAGAGCCAGTACATTCAATAAAGGGTGAAATGGTTACCAGAACAAAAGGGCATCGGGGCACTCCACATTCCATTGAGCTGACAAGTTCTGGACGATTCTCCTTTCAGCTGTCGTCCACCCAGACAGGAGTATCGAACCGTTGAACCAAACGTAAACTTATCTCCGTTCAGCACGCCGTTGGGAGGAGAGCCAGGATGACCACAGTCTACAACTGCAAAGTGGTAAAAGAGGTTAAGAGTAAAACTAGGGAGTGGAGAGGACAGTACAGTTCCACTCACTGCAGCTGTGTGAGAAGAGAGGCAATGATTCACACTGGTATCTCAGTCAATAAAAAGACAAACAAACAATGGCATTGATTAAGTTAGCCAAAAAAAAAAGTTTGTTCAACAGCCATGAGATGAGATAACATTGCAGTAGCTATAAATGTACTATGTTAGACAACAAATACAAAACAAGGGAAATAAAACACACCAACTAAAATAAATGTTAGACCAAGATACTTTGGTGCCAGCCGAAACAGTACTAAAAACACAGAATCAGTAGTCTGGGAATTAAATTACCACAAAGGGAGCAATGCAAAAATATTTGGTCTATATATACAGTAGATATTATGTATTAAAAAGATTTAAATTCAAGTTGTAGGATGCTTTAGCTACAGGGTGGCCAAACATTAACAGTATTTTTGATAAAACTGTTCCATTAAGAACTCAGGATCACACTAACCTATACATTCAGGAAGAGGTTTGTCCCAGTGACCGGTGGGTTGACAGGTCAGCACAGGAGAGCCAAACAGGTAATACCCGGGGTTGCAGTCATAAAAAACCACAGTGCCAAAGGTGAAGTTGCCGTGTTCGATTTTACTCTGTCGAATGGAGTTGGCTGGAATTCCTGGATCGGAGCAGTTGACGACTGTAGACAATCAGACACCAGCAGAGACAGGGACACAGAAAGATTAAGATGTATGTGTTATTGGGAATTTACCACAGTAAAAGGCACAGGAGATATGGCCCCGTAATTTAGATCTGGTAAAGTCAGTGGGAATAAGACTGATGAAGGCTGAAACAGCCAAAAAACTTCAGATGAACGGGAAACAGAACAAAATAAAAAAGAGGACATAATCCCTGCATTCATGAATTTATAACAGCATCACATCCATATTATAATACAATTACAACAAAAACATTCCAGCACCACGATACTCAGTGCAGAGCTCAGAATTTAGAAAAAACATTTCTGGACACAGTAGGTTTTTTGGTGGTTTGTTATTCAAACTAAAAATGGTTTCTGATGAACATAAATAATTTTAGGGATTATAACACTCAACTTTTTTCCCCACCTTTACATGTTGGAGGCGGGTGGCTCCACTGCCTGTTGGCCTGGCAGTGGGCCCGTGCAGGCCCCTCCATCTCATAACCGCGGTTACAGACAAAGCTGACCACATCGTTGAGGTTGAAGCCATTTCCCACTGTTCGACCATATATGGGACTTCCTGGATGGCCACAGCTGATGGCTGTAGGGAAGGAAAGTGTCAATCAGTGATACAGTGCAGTCTTATTCAGTCACTAATTATGAGACACACATTCATGTCATTTTTTCTATGATTCTAAGTATAAAAAAAATAACGTTTACAAAGAGTTGAACTAGAAGTAAAAATCAGAGGCAGCGTGGCTGCCAGAATGGAGAACAGGCACAGGTTTGGGGCCAATTATCTATGTCTGTCCTGCAGCAATTATTGACTCTCATGGAAATGTCAGACGGCTGAAACGACGCTACTGCAATCCCAAGTTAAGGTCACCATTTTGGAAAAATTGACTTGAGTGTAAGAGTTGAGTGTCCTTGTTTTAGCGGTGTTCATAATAATGTTTCAGTCAGTAAATTTTATTCTCTGGAGTCTGTAAGTTAGCAGAGTGGAAGAGTTCAGTCCGACAGACACAGTTACTGTCTACTTCCTTTTCAACACGAGTTAGCAGAGTGGAAGAGTTCAGTTACTGTCTACTTCCTTTTCAACACGAACACCTTTTCCTAAACCTGTGATATACATAATACTACACAAGCAATACAACTGCATTGTCCAGTTTGCGGCTGACCCAAGGTGTGGTTTTGACATGCCTGGTATACTGTATGTGAGTATAAACATCCAGTAATCTGTTTTCTGACTTTCAGTCACGACCCAAAAGCTCCAGTGTTTCTGTAAACGGTCAGTTTCAGCGTGACAGCGTTGTGGATTAGAGAACACACTGCTCTTCGGGATAAAACAGGAGGACCTAACATGTCCAGACTTCTGTGAAAACGCTCTAAAATCTCCCACCTGCTGGTGTCAGTGTTAATGGGTTTCAGTGGCACCTGCACAGTGACATCCCCACCACAAACCAATTATTAAAAGGCCTTTACCTTCAGAAAGCCTTTTTTGTTCAACAAATTGGACACTTTCCAAACACAACTCTCACATTTTCTCAGTCAGAGGCAGAGAAAGTGCATAAAGGGAGTGATTTTCCTTTATGTTATCGTGTTTGATTGTAAACCTCTACACGAGCTAAACAAAAGAGGTGAAATCTATGCCGGTAATAGATGCAGTTCTGCGTATGGAGTTGGGATATTGTGTGTGTGTCTACATCCGTGATTGCGTGCCGGGTGTTTTTATTGAGGTTATTCATGCAGGAGTTATTGAGGGAAATCATTTTACAGCCAAATTATACTGTAATTATGGAGATGAGAGGCTCTTGTTTAGAGACACAAACACAGAATGATGATGAGACTGTGTCTGTGTGTGTGTTTGTGAGAATGCATGTGTGTGTGTGTGTTCTGTGTGTGTGAGAATGCATGTGTGTGTGTGTGTTGACAGTGTCAGATAATTTTGTATCAGAGCCATGCAAAACAATTTCTGATTGTCAACTGACAACAGGACCCTGCTCTATTGTCCTTTCTCACTTGGTCCAGTTTTTCCTTCGTCACCATCTCATCCTTCGCTCCTCTCACCTCAAATGAACTCTCTCTCTTTCTCTGCCTCATCTTTTTCCCCGCCTCTCTCTATCTTCCTCCCTCTTCGCCCTCGTGTCGCATCCACACTCAGTCTCAGTCTTTCTTCGGGCTCTTCTTCTCTTCTGTCCACCCAATAAAACAGCCATGTCCAAAGTCCAGCCCTGCAGCCATCAGTGGCACTTGGACAGGTTTAATGTGGCTCATGACGCATTTCTTAAAAGTTAATAATAAAATATACTTTTTATAAGCAGACCTTTTGGGTTTATTTTTGCCCCCGTGAAATATGTCTTCAGTGTATTCTGGATCATTTTAAGGGTGATTTTTTATTTCTCTTCCAAGCATTGTTGCTTTTAAATAAGGTAGATATTGATTTGTAACCTACAGTATAAGCCTATATCTAACTCTAGTTAATTTACTGTACTAAAGTTTGAGCTTTTTCTGCCTACGTTTTACCAATATTTAGCCTGAGGCATTCAATAGTTTTGACTGAATTTGTTCTTTTTTATAGTGGATAATATATATTTATTCTACCTGCAGTTTGTATCACACAATGTGCTACATAATTATACATTAATTTACACAAATTCTATCTGCTCTGTTGCATAACAATTAGCTATTTTGTCAACATTTTCGGCAAACTTTTGACCAACCTTACGGACCACGACCAGATTACTAATGTTGATATTGAAGCCAGTAAATAACCGACAATACGTGACTGATCTAAGGGTTGGATTATTTTGACAACACTAAATGTGAATAACTCCGTGTGTGTGTGTGTGTGTTCTCTTACGTATACAAACGGGCAGCTGGCCTGACCACTGGTTGTCTTGAAGACAGATTCGAACTGATGATCCTATAAGCCTGAAGCCGGGCAGACACTGATACACCACGGTGTCGCGGTAACCAAAGTTCTCACCGATCACCTGGCCGTTCACAATGTTTTCTGGGATTCCACAGTGACCAGCTGTGAGAGAGAGACACAAGTAAAGTCATTGGTAACAGTACACCAGAAACAAATACGTACCAGTCAGTTTCATGACTATAACCTATTTTCCTTTGAGCTGGAACCTAAGTTATAAAACTAACTTTAAACTCTTCATGACTATATTTTCCTTTGAGCTGGAATCTAAGTTATAAAACTAACTTTTAACTCTATAAAAGAAGATAGAACTCAATGTCATAAACATTAGCACTCTTTATTGTACCTAATGATCAACTACTTATTTTTAGCGCCACAGAATAGCATTCTTTGTTTCTTGTAGACACTATATAATTGTTGCTGATGTCACGTAGATTGTCCTCATTAAATTCGTCCATGTCTTCTCTGGATCAACAACGGACAAACGTGATATTTAACACAAAAAAGTTGAACTTTTAAATTGTTTGTGTCACTGTAACCTGATGTATGACATTTACAGCTTTAATTACTCTGATGTCGGTGAAGACTGCATCAGCAACAGGAACTTCCTCTGGTTTTAAATATTAAATAATGCACGATTTTCATAGCATTTTTCAGAGGCTCTAATTATTTCATTCCGTGACAGAATGATGCCTCACCCGTCAGTTCAGGTTAAGTTACATTGAACTTTTCCTTTTTATATAATTCTGCATCTTATATTCCATCTGCCTGTCAGCTTTACTGGGGAGTTTTTCTGAAGTTTCGTTAAAAAAAAAAAGTGACAGTATGGTGCCTAAACATCTGTTACCTCTGGATGAAGAAGAAAACAGAAGATTTTCTTGGGTCACATTTATAGACAAGTGGAGTCAGAATAAAGTAAGAGCAGAAGGATGAGATTGAGGGGATTAAAGTAGACGAGGTCAGAGGTCCTTTCATTCATCACTTCCTCTCTGTTTATGTCTGCTGTGGCTTCTAGTCAAGTATCATTTTCAGCCTTTACATTTATGACCCTGTCTTTATTGTATTCCTTAAGTGAACTACACAAACAGAAACATCTAAGAAGCTGGGTGATGATTATGGGATAGGTGATGGTTTACATTGTCATATAAGTCTGTTACATTTAAATACAACTTTAATGTATCATTAATGACTGTGGTGTCAGTGTCTTCTCGGCAGCACATTGGGTTGATCTAAAATAAAGAACTTGAACTTTTTTTTAGCAGCGACTCCATTTTATAACAGAAATATTTACTCCAAAGAAAAATGTTCTGTTCTATTATTCTTTTTCTTCTTATTACTAAAAATAATCCTGGAAATTTTAATCTTTATATTCTGTTGATACATTAGGTTACAGTGTCACAGCTACAGTTTTTATCCAACACTGAAATCACTCACAAAGCACAGTCGTCAAAGCTCAACATATAGAAAACTTCACTACTGCATATTTAAAATCAATACTATTTCTAAGTGGTTACCACACGTACCTAAACAACGTGTTTCCGTTCCGCTCCAGAGTCCAGATGACAGGCACTCTCTGACAGCTGACCCCACCAGCATGAAGCCCACGTCGCAGGTGAAGATGGCGGTGGCACCAAATGAAGTCTGGGTTCCAATCTTTTTCCCGTTGGTTGGAGACGGGAGCTCACCGCAGGAGATCACTGAAGAACACAGTCAGGCAGACATGAGCGTTATAAATGAACCTGTGCATGAAGTTAGCTTGAGACGAAAACGACACTAATCACAAACTGGTGCGGTTTAATACATAAATATGGCAATTATCATTTCCTCGCAGCAATGATTTCTTAAATGTCACAATAATCAGGAGAAGAAGGAATATCTTGTAATCATAGTTATACAGCGATTAAATTACATCTGACTTATGGGATTTACTCGTAATTTAATACACCTTCATGTTCTAATAAAAATGAAATTAAACTTAATTTAAAATTTGTTATGAATTTATATATATATTTAATCAGGTCTCTACATTGTAATGGTAGATTAGACTAGATAATTATGTTGTGGTGCTCACTGATGTAGGTTATCATTTTGTTTGCCGTCATTCAGTGATGCTGACATTAGCTTCAGGTACAGTTTAACTTTAATGAGTGAAAAAGCAGCAGTTTTTACACATTTCTCTCAGCTGTTAAATTACCAGTTCTCATTTCTGTTCTTCAACATTCAGTCCATGTGCCTTTATACTCACAGACTTTCTGTATTGTGATTTTTTCCACATAAAAACTGCTTCAACAGGGGGCGTGACACCTACCTTGACAATGAGGCCTCTCATTTCTCCAGCTCCACGCACCATTGGGTAAGCACTCAATGTGGGCGGGGCCTAGTCTGTAATATCCAGGGTCACAGGTGAACACAATACGAGTTTTGTACTCGTAGTGTGAGCCGTTGACAATCCTCCATCGACCATGTTCTAGAGAAAATGAGCCGATGCTGGGACAGACCACAACTATGGAAGGAAAAAAAAAAAAAAAAAGAGATTTATGCTTCATTAAAATTTATTTCCAAATGTTAATTTGATACTTTAACTTAAAAAAATGTTAAAATATCAATAGGTTACTAACTAACTAACAATATTATTTTAATATACCAACAACCAAACCTTCTTACACTTTAATGTGTACTTTTTCTTTACTTAAACAACACTTTCTGTACTTGTGGTTTTCCCATCAACCTGACCAGACTGTACACAACTTGAATATTATCAGACTTGGCAGAGATTTTACTGTTTTCTTTGATTTCTCACTGACCAGAACAGCGAGGGATCTTGTTGTGGTTACTCCACGTTCCGTCAGGCTGACAGATTGCTGACGTCAGCTCTTTACTTGAGAGTCTGTAGCCATCATTGCAGAAATACGACACCCTGGTACCGACCGAGTAGTCTGAAGTTAGAGTGCCACCGTTTATTGGAGCTTTGGGTACGCCACATGACACAGCTACGGGGAAAGGGAAGGTGTAAAGTTAGCAATTAACAAAATAAAAAACTAAACAAAAACTAAACATAAATATCATAAATATCTAAACATATCTATCTATATATCTATATGTATATTCTGTATGGCTTTCTATCATTGTTCTCCAGCTATTTTCTCCAAAAAATGTATGTATAAAACCAAGAAAAATAAAATAGGTCAGGAGGAAAAAAAATCAATCCATCATCTGAAATGGACATGAAATATGACACATATTGAGACCCTGTTACTTCAAACAAGGAACCTTTAGCTTTTATTGACTTCAATTTGGAATGTGTCTACTCTGGCAAAGAATAATAAAAACAGAAACAAATCAGTAGTTAAAGGAGAAAATAAAACAAGGAAACGGAGCCTATTTTCTGCCATAAATCTGTCTGGCAGTTATATCATCTAAACAAAACTCAAATTTATGACTTAAATTAGAAATAAAAATGCACCTTGACAGGCAGGGACAGGAGAATCCCAGGCGTGATAACCCAGCAGAGAGCGGCGGCAGACGGCCGTGGCGTTGCCAATGAGGCGGTAGCCTCTGTCACAGGCCCACCGAACCACGCTGTTGATGTGGCCCCCGCTTTGAGACGAGATGGAGCCGTGGAGTGGGGAGTCTGGTGTGGAGCAGTACAGTGCTGACATGGACGAAAATAGAAAATAGAAGCAAACCAAAAAGATCAAGAAACAGGTGTGAACCAATTTCTTTTAGAAAAAACAATATTTATAATAAATCAGCTACAACACAGTCAGGTTAAAGGTGCATTTCATAATTTAGCCCAGGTTCTATCAGACTATAAACCACTATATTTGCCCATACTCACCGACAATTGAGCATTTTGTATGATCTTACATGGACTACACTTATACCGTGGAAATTAATCTGACTTGGTTTTAAGCTTAGATCCAAATAACCTGCGATACTGTCTCCAAGTTGACTTGCTTTGCCCACATGAGATACTGTATATAAGTGACCCACAATTCTAAGGGCAATTCAGCTCAGAAAACCTGGAACTAATTACTTTAAAATTGGGAAAAAAGAACCACAAATGTATCTAGTTCATGTCCATGTCCTTTGTAGCTTAATCCACCAGGGTTCACTTGCACCAACACATAATACCTTTCACCTTTCAAATGACCTTCATTTATACAACGAAAGTCTGTTCCTTCCCTCATTTAACTGCTGGCCGGGACAGCTTCAGATTTTAACACGAGAGCTAACAATACTTCACATAAGTTGTTCTTTATGTTGTGCAATGACAATGTGTCACAACATCAAAGGTAATTTTCACTTTGTATTTTAAGTGTTGACAGCACTGACAAGGTACACTGTCATGTCTCTGATCAAGCAAATTAATTAGACTCTTATGTAGAAGCTTTAAACATGTGTTTCCTAATCCCTGCAGATGTTCCCATTAACCTCCCAGCTACAGTAAGAGCTGACTGTCATTTCTTTCCTGTTCTTTCCTTTCATCGTTCATCCGGTGGGACCGCGGCTCTGTGAAAAATCACGTCTAATCACCATCTAAACTATTATATACTGTATATGTGATACTGCACAGGACGCTGGATGTTCACAAACACAAACATAATGCAGCAACACAGTCAAATTATCTGCTTTAGACAGACAGAAGTCTGGTGAACAGTAGGTATCAACTACCATGTATTAGTCAGATCGTACTCTCGTATTTTCCATCGCATTTGACTAGTTACGATGCACGTGTGCATTCAGATCAGGTTCTCTGTCCTTCTGTCTGTCTACTTGAGTCTTCATGCATTGTGACATTAATTAGTAATAGTAGTAAAATAAAGTTGGGATACATACTTTGGTACTCACCAACATAACGGATTTTGAAGCCTTTCTTGTTCGTGCCGTGGTCTGAGGACCAGCGAATCAGGAACTGGTGACCGGAGGTTGTGACGTTGAAGGGTGTGGGCAGGTCACCACTCAGAGTGGCCAGGGTCGGGCTGTTGGCTGAAGGGCCTGATGGTGAAAACAGAGGTAAAAATAGACAATGAAACATGGGGAAGATGAGAAGGTGACGATACAGTACAGTATTTGTTTGTATTGATCCTCAGCTTTGAGGGCTACTGTACATGTTGAACACAGTGGGAGTTCTTTTCTTTTTTTACCATCAAAAATCTCCAACATGTCAAACTCTCTCTCGGTGTGGAAGCTCTCAAAGGTAATGGTGACATTGTATCCTTTCTCCACATTGACGCTCCACGAACACATTTGGAGGTTGGGGTAGCTTTCTGGCCAACCGGGGCTGAGGATCACACCTGACGAGTCATATCGTACATCGTGTGCCGGGCATTGGACTAAAGAAGAGGAAAGAATTAAACGGAGACATTTTAGGGCTTTGCAAAGAAAAAATATATAGTACATATAGTATATATAGTACACACCTTGGCATGTCGGAGGCAGTGCATCCATCTGGAGTCTTTCTCCAAGGCGACAAGTTAAAATCTCACTGCCGACCATTGAGAATCCAGGATGGCATCTGTACCTGATGATGTCACCTGGAAACAAAAAAATCATTTGGGAATAAAAACCTGTATTTGACTGGAGAAATATATATATATATATATATAGACTATATTTGACATGAACAGATGATGGAATTTCGACAAAAGATCACTACATATAAGTTGCTGTAATTCAGTTAAAAAAAAGCATCAAAATGTCATAAAAATGTACAAGAAATGACCTAAACTAAAAGCAACACAAGTTCACAGGTTTTATGTAGTTACAGTACAATAACCTAGGACCAATTCTTTTCAACAGTAACACAGACTGACTGAAAACTCTGCCATTAAAAATGACATGTGAGACAGACGACTCACCTATCTCCAGCTCTCCATCCTCCATCAGGATGTCAGCGTTGGGCACTTCTGGAGGAAGCTGGCAGACCCTTAATTGGTAGGCTATGAAGAGCAACACACACCAGAGGAGACAGGCAGAAAGAGGACAATATATAAGAGAGTGTGAAGAGAAAGATGATCAACACACGCCAGGGAGCATCTGGTGGTGAATTCTCGTTGCGGTAAAAAGAGTCGGCAGTGACTCACACATGGGCACGGACCTATTGTCAGGTTTTATTTTGTTCATTGTTGCGTTTCGAATTTTGCCGTGGTTCGGTTTAACTTGACTGTTCATCGAAGCATGGGCTCAACAAACAGATACGACACTTGAATTGCCTTGAATCAAGAAAAGTTGCTGATTTTACAGCCGCTGAGCCAAGGGCCGTAGTCAATATTACTCCATAGATCACTGACTAACACAGAGTCAGAGAGAGAGGGAGAGAGAGAGAGCTGAGTGCTGTAAGTCAGGATGCTAATTGTATCTTATAGCCTCATGCATATTAATTCCCTGTGTGTGTGTGTGTAGTAGTGTATGTATTTGTAAAACATCTTTTAGAGTCTTTGTAGGAGACAATGTTCAGATCCCCAAAGAAAAGGAGGAAATTGCATCCAAGTAAAAGTAAAAATTAGTGCCAGAATAGAATTAGGCTAAAGATTAAATAAGACAGGTATTTGTAATGGTTAACGTTGGCACACGGTCTAGGTGATGCATGGAGTCTATGTGAAGTGCACATAAAAAATAAGAACCAGCGTGTGTGTGTGTGTATGTGTGTGTTGGCACCATCCCCCCCTCTCAGCACATGGAACAGAGAACCACTAAGAGCAATCATTGATCTCACTAAACTCCATGACCTTTTTTCCCCCCCTCTAAATGTCAACCTCCACAGTCATGTCACATCCTCTCTCCCAGCCTCACTCACATCCATGACAACATTATCCACCACGTACACGAGCCTCGTCTGCCGACAATCAGGAGCCTTGACCCAGCGACAAGTTAGAGACGCTGACGTTGACAAACAGCAGATGTTTTGCGTTGACATGGAAAGCCGAAACTGCACTTGAGCAGCTGTTGAAAAGACAAACGTTGGACCTTCTACATTCGCTTCTGACTGTCCTTCCAGTGACAGTGAGCCTTATTAGGAAAGTCTATCAACAGCGAGGGGCGATCCAGTGTGACGTCAGCCACTGGAATGTAAAATAACTTCCCTTTGAAGCCGTTAGTTTGAAGTTTACACCATGCTGTTTTTTTGAAGACCTTAAAGCTCTGGAAATAGTAGTGACAGAAATTAGCTGGGATTTTGGGAAAAGACACCATTGATTCTTTTTAAAATACCCTTGAAATTAACATAAAAACTTTCACAATATGTGATTAACCTCTGCAAACTTACAGTACCAAACTTTAGGCTTTAAGTCTTTTGTAGTACACACAACCACCATGGAACGGTTTAATAATAAAAAGCAAAAAAAGGTTGTTAAAGTAAGGCAGCTTGACATTACTCAAAAAAATAGTCTCTGAAAAGCTAACACTGGCCAATTCTGCAAAAATAGTATAAAAATATATCCACAACAAAGCTGTAAGTGAGAAAACAACCCACTCTTCTTTTAAAAAAGGATGGACATTTGAAGCTCTTTGACCTCAGCTTCTTCTCCAGACTTTATTTAAAAACAGGTCTTTTTTTTGTGACGACCATCTGAGGTTTCTTATTACCCTTTATACTATTTTTGTAGAATGTTAGGCAACAAAATGTAAAAAGTGCCGTATATGTCAACCTATCTCCATCATATCCGTCTCCCACTGTCACTGACGTCTACTGTTGAGCTCCACCAAAACTGGAGCTACACTTAAATCTGTCCTATATGTGTCACAGCTCTTGACAGTCTGAGGCCGACACCTAAACCCTGCAAACACAAATTCATTAATGCCATGTCACCTGTCTTGAAAAGGGTTTATCTGGTGAAGATGAATAAAATATGTAATTTGAAGATGTATTTTTTTTTTTGTATCTGGAATGAGTAGGAAGAGTCAGATTGTCAGAAATATTTTTAGGCTTAGATGATGGTAATGAGCATATTCATATTTTCGAAAACCTCTGTTTTTACTTGAGTTTTTTTTTGTTTTTACTTTATTTAAATGTCAGGCGTATCGTCTTTAAAAAACACGTAGAATAAAGAAGAAGTGAGTGGAAAAAAGTCAAAAGTCTAAAGGTCTAAATAGTGTGGAGGCACTTTTTTTTTCTTTTCTTTTTGCATTTTTTCCATGCAGTGATTGAGAAGTAGAGGTGAGTGATCTTAGCACTGCAGCTTCAAAATAAAAAAAAAGAGATCGGAAAAGACAGTTTGACATTAACAGAGTAGGGCGAAATAAAAAAAGAAAGAAAAAGTATTCTAACAAACTTCTCCAGTTCTGATTCATACTATATAAAAGATAGAGAGACGCCCACACACTATTCATTGCAGTGAGTAATTAGTGACTAATGAGCAAAACTATTGTCTATGTTTTATCTCACATTACTATTCTTTTTCTTCATTATTTAAAAAAATAAAAGGTTTTGGCTGATTTTTTTTTGTATTTATGTGTCTGCATAACATAATATGCATGTATATTTTCAGTGTCTGCATATTATCAGCAATGAAAATAAAGCTTTAAGCATTTCTGCTTAGAAAATAACATAATATGCATGTATATTTTCAGTCACCTCAAACTAAACATAACTATATATAATATAATAAATTACCCTAACATATATATATATGTAGATAACCTAAATATATGTTTTAGAAACAACCAGTTTGAGCAAAAATGTGATGAAGACTGTCTATTTGATGGGAAGGTGAAAAAATGCTGGTAAAAAAGAAAAGCATGTCATTAGTCAGACAGACCTAAGAGAGGTAGGTTTGAGTGGAGCCTAATGAGGATGGAGTCAAAGAGAAGGCAACACAAACACAGCAATGGCAACACTTCAGTTCTGGACTATCAAAGCCGCCCTCCAAAGCCAGCTGCAGGGACCGTGGCTTAATGAGACTGGCATTTCTGACTGAGCAGACAATCAAATACCACGATTCACTCAATGTCAGAGGAGTTCTGAGTCGCCCCGCGGCGGCTTTGACTTTGTCATTATGGTTCTTACCATGGTAACTCAACACAAAGAAGCCCGCTCCGGAGAAGTCAGAGTGGAATTTGATGAGGATGATGTTGGAGGTGGAGTAGACCGACTCCAAGGCTGTGTTGCCACTGAACTGACCAATCTGGGGAGACGACTGGTCCGGACCGTCCCTTTTGGAGAAACAAAGAGAAACGACGTGTCATCAAAGTGATACAGACCCACCAGTTTTATTTTAACTCTAGCATGGTTTAAATATCATTACTAGTACAATATCCTTACATCCTGTAAACCTCTAATCAACAGTCAAGACTAGAGCTGGGGTTCAATGACACAAAGGCTTCGTAAGCTTATATTTCTTCATCGATTAAGCACAGTGGCGTCTCAATAGGTGAGTATATTATATTGAGTTGTACTAAAATGTGCAGCCCACTGCTGCTCTGTTGCATGTTAATCACTGGCTGAAATATTGTATTTCTTTCTCTAAACTGAGAATGAAGTTTTTTAATTTGTATTGTCAAAGTTTCAGAGTAACGGCACACAGCTGTGGGCCCATCTTCTCCGTAAAACAACTTTAACCACAGAGACATAACGGTCATTTAGGTATGAAACTTCTACAAACTCTGGTTCCACTGACGGCCAGCAGCAGGAGTTGTTTAATGGCTGTTTTGATTACTGCACAGATTTTTTAGAAAAAGATTAATTGCACTGTCCTCAGATCGTTGGACTTGGACCTTTGGCTTTTATGTTTGTCGCCAGTGTTGGTCTGGCATTCAGGAAAACCTCATGAGGCAGACAGGAAGATATTTATCAAACGACAGTTTGGGCCCCTCGGTGCAATGCCATGTGCATATTTCACCTTTAATGACAGCAGCACCAGCTGTCACACTGGAACTAACCACGGACACATTATCGATGATTAAAAAGCATCATCAGGAAGTTAAATGGAATGATCATTTCCTGCTGTTAAAGTGTTTTTAGATGAGACCAATTATACCTGTCATGGAATGTCGGGAATTATCTGCTGCGGTGACGGAGCAGATCAAAGTTATCTGACTAGTTTAATTTGTTGATTATCATTGATTCTAACATTTATGAGCGGGTTAATATTGCAGGGGGAGAGAAGACTGTGCTGCGTGGAGCAGCAGAATGGAGGGAAACATCTGTGATGTGTATGATAATTCTGATGATGAACTGCTCTGGTAGGCTTCCCAGTATGAGACCAATTAGTGGACTAACTGACTGTCAGCCTGGCTGGCTCTGGACTGAGGAGACTGCTGTGAAAAATGCACCTTTACCACTGACACGAGGCCCCCTACAGGGAGGTGGTGTTGCGGCAGCGAGGCGGAGAGTTTCCAGTGTATTTGTGTGAGATTGCTGTCTTTGCTCTTTGTGTGAGATTCAGCAGTTTGTCGACTTTTCTGAATTGACAGCAGGGTCAGGGACACGCTGTGAGACCAATTCATGGACTTCACACAATCAGCACAGGCGGTACCTGGCTCAACAGAGTAATGGTGGTTGGCATGAAAAAAAGGCTTGACAGACTTCATGAATTTTAACATTTTCACATCAATACCATCTGTTCTAAAGTTTCTATTATTGCAGTTTTGTAACTAGTTAAGACCCAAAGTACTGATGGATAATAAAAAAGTACTCGAGAAAAACAAACAAATCTGACGATACAATAACTTGATGGAAATGTGCCTTAAATTCAGACTATTAATATCAACTCTCTCCCAAAATCAGCTCTAGAAAGATATTAATCCTGTGTGATGCCATCAATCAAAGCAAAAAAAAAAATTCTCTAGAGGCTAATTTCTATTGTTGGAACCAGTACCAGTATTTATGTCTGTTTCCATCATAGCAGCAGGTGGAAGAAGCCTCGGTCAAACTCTAAAAAATTTGATTCTTAAACTTTGATTATGATAGATTCAATAATCGTGACCTTTGTTTTTTTTACCACAAAATTCTTCTCTCTTCAAGATTCGATAACAATTTGATTGACATAAATTGACAGAACACGTAATGCACAAAAACATCTGCCGGGTAAAAACTGCTGTTCCCTTCAAAATTTCTCACTTTCTAACAACTGCCTCGGGAAGTCAAACTTTGAAGTTGCAAGGCTGATATCGCAACAACCTGATAAAGACAAGACGGACATTTGTTCCTCCCGGGTTGGTCAGATGTTGATATACGGCGCAGTCTTTTTATGGAAAAATACTTTATCTATGGAGAGCTGACAGAAATATTGCAACCACAGGAAAAGCTCATCTATTTACGGCTCTGCTGCCACCTCCTACCTGCAGATAACTATGTTACATGCTATCTAAGCACCATTTAAACACCTGCATTGACAAAATGTCTGCTCTTGCCAATGGCTGCTCTCCTAGGGAAGAATAATGAAGAGAGGAGTCAAGGCCGGGCAGACGGAGGGAGAAAGATGTATTGTATATTCCATAGAAGACAAACTGATCCTTGTGTACGAAGCCATGGGAGGGGAAGAGTTAAAGGTGAAGAAAGATGGAGAAAAAGATGCTGAAAATTATGTTAGAGCTGCTTTATATTCAACGAGAAATGTCCCTTGTAAGAATTTTCCCAATTAGTGGACAAGTGTGAAAGATGTTAAAGAGCACAAAGTCCTCTGAGACAGAAAGATATTTTAGGTAGGTGTGTTGGAAGATATTGTCACAATGTGTGGCTCAAATTAAATGGCAGTAAATGTCAGTCAAGTAGCTTTTTCTTTCACATGTCCTAAACAAAATAATAAGGGAAGGTAGCCCAGGATTAAAAGACGAAATGTTTGAAAATCATAAAATGTCTATTTCTAGATAAGTTAACTTTTTAAAAAAATGTAATCCATGTTTCCACTTCTTAAAAAAAAAAAGTAAGATGAGATGCTTCTGTGGTGCAGTGGCCATAATTTGCCTGATGAATAAGGGTTTATCCGTACGATTATTGTTTTTTATTTTGTTTTTTTCTGGCTTTATGACTTCATGAAACCTGGCTGTATAATAACGTGCACTCACCAGACTGTGATGTAGTCATATATAGGCTCCGTGCTAAGGACGGTGAAGTTGATATAAATTCCATGTCCGGGGGGAACTCTCACGCTCCACACGCAGTCCTGGAAGTTTGGGTATTCCTCTGGGTGACCCGGGGAGTAAATGGTTCCATTTAATGAAGTGATGTTACCACCACAGAGAGCTGGGACGAAGAGCGTTAACAGAATTACTTTTAATAAATTAGCAGCAAATCAGTAATATCATTGTGGAGCTACGGTTAATTATCTTGATGGCTAAAGTAGGACATGATTGTCAGTCATGTGATAACGGACTAATATCTTTAATAAATGGTCATTACAGTTTTATTGCACCTCTGCAGCCCACATGTTCCTTGGAAGCCTCGGTGATGCTCATTGGTGGTACAGTCTAATCACTACTGAGAGCTATAAACCTGAGCACAGGTTTATTTTTAAAGTTAGACTCCTGCAGTAATGGCTGACACTTAACTCTCCAGCCTTTAAATTAATAAAAAAAACAAAGTTACACTGTGGATAAATGTGCAGTCCAATAACAACTATACATTGTAGTAAAGGTAATAATATTAAAACTTACTCACTGATTTACTTTATACATATTTTTTCAATGATAATTCACTTCCTACTAGTGATTTCAGCCACAGAAAATAATTTAAAAATATATGTAGAATTTAGAAAATAAATAATAATTATAATAGCTTCATTTCTTTTAAAATTCAAGTTGATGATGCCTTTCAAGTTTTCATTCTCTTCGATTCCTTTTAGCCATTTATCCTCAAACACAAAACAACAGCTCAGAAGACAAAGACATCCTACTAAGTATCTCATCTACCTTCACATCGTGGTAACGGGTGGTCCGGGTGATTCCATGCAGACATGTCAGTGAAGCCTCTCCAATCAGGGAATATCCCGGAAGACATTCAAATGACACCGTCATCCCCACACTGAAATCAGTGCCAATGACAATTCCATTTCGAAACGGTCGCGGGTCTGGACAACTCTGGAGCTGATAGGCTAAAGATTAAAAGAAAAAAGATTTTAGAAATTGTCATACTGTACTACAGAACTAGAGGCATCTAGAATGTGGGTTGTCGGTAGATAAAAAAAATAAATAAAAATAAAAACTTGGTGAGATATTGTCATACTGTACTACAGAGCTAGAGGCATCTAGAATGTGGGTTGTCGTATGTACACATCTGTAGGGTTTAATATATAATGGATTTCACACTGAGTCAAACAGCACGATCATGACAACATGCTCGTTCTCATTCTGTGATGAGAATATATTTTCAGTAAGAAAAAAAGTACAATATCTGTCAATCTATATGTTATTTTCAGAAGGCAATTATGGAGAAATAAATAAGAGATAAAATGATGTAGTTATTATTTTAATTTCCAGCATATTGAATGTAATGAGACCTACTATGAACTGAGCTTCAGGTTAAAAAAAAAGTTACACCCAAAGTCTTAGTAGCATCACATTCACATTAATAAGAAACAGGAATTTGACAGGCGCACTGACAATACTATTAATGGGTATAACAAACCATCTGAAGGCTGAAATGAACAAACTAAAAAAAAAAAGACTGCTGAAAGTTTAGTACTTAAGGAACTAATTTTGGCCCTGAAAATGTAAGAACTTTCTGACAGGTGCATTAAAGTAAAGTGTTACTGCTGCCTGAAAAAGTGGGTCAATCTGATGTTGATGCCACTGCTAAAGAACTCTGCTGCTGTCACTCAGGTGAATAAATATAATGGAGACATTGGCAGGATTTTCTTTTGCTTCGCTTAAGTCAGAGCCACAGTTGGATGTCACTTTTTTTTTTCTTTCTTAGAAAGTCTGAGTAAACAAGGCATTGCAGAGGAAACTTGTCAAAGCACCATGTACCTTGATATGTGATGTGAAAGCCTGGTTTGTTCTGCGAATAGTCGCTGTGGAAGAAGAAGCTGGTCTGGTGGGTGGTGCTGAACAGAGGTTTGGGGAGGAGTGGACCACTGAAGCGATCAATGACCGAGCCGGTCTCCAGACTTCCACTGCGGATCTCTAAGTAATCATGGATGGCTTCGGTGGAGAAGTTCAGGAACTGGAGGTGGATGCCTGGGGAGAAAGCCACACACGTACAGCTTTATGTGACTTGTTGAACAAAGTCTGACTGACAAAGAGCTGCGGTACAAAGCAATTTATGTTAAACTATTGAGGAGGTTAAGACCTTAAAGAGAAGGAGAGTGCAACATTTATTCAGATTATAAATATTTATTTAAAAAAAAGAGTTTTGAATGTGTTTAAAAAAATATTTTGTAAAAGAAAAAAAATATTACAGGAAACTCAGGGACAGAGAGAAAAGAAACAAACAAACAAAAACAGATGCTTAACCAAACAGACCAGAGTTAAAACCCAAATCCATAGTTGACAGTGTGTCTTACCAAAGCCGACAGGTAGGTTGACTGTCCAAGTGCAGTCTAATCCACTGGGGTAGTTGCCGGGGTAACCAGGACTTAGAATAACTCCACTTACATCTGTCATAGAATCACCACACTGGGCTGGAGTCACACACACACCCACACACAGACGCGCACACACATACACACACAATCAGTACATATGTCAGAGTGACTGTGCTCACATTTCTACACGCATGCTGCTAATATATTTAAAGACTGTTAATGTGATCATGTCTAGTAGAATGTCATCTTAATGTTTCTTTTTTTGTTGTTGTTTGATTTTAACTCCATCAGGAGCAGCGCTATAAAGAAACAGCTTCTCTTCAGTGATAAACAAAGTTACATGTCATGATGATAAACTCTCAACTGCCTTCTTCTAGAAATGGTTAGCGTATGCTAGCTAAACAACTAGCATTAAAAGAGGAACTAATGGTAAAACTAGACCATTGGTGGACCTGAAATGAATTCCAGTCTGGTTCCAGTATTTTTTAGCTACATTGTAAATCAGGGGGTGTGGTGGGGGCCAGATGTGGACAGCTCAGGTGTATTTTTTAGCTACATTGTAAATCACAATGTAGCCCCCACATCTGGGGGCCAGATGTGGACAGCTCAGGTGGCAGAAGGGGTCTGCGTGCCGGGAGTTTGAGATCCCTGCTTAATATCCAGGCTAAACCCAATATTTCAAAGATCCTCCCTAGAAGGTTCCTAACGTGATCCCTTCAGTCCTGTTATGTCTTCTACCCATAATGATTTTGGAGAGTTTGTTGAAGGGCCTCAGTTCTACACAAGATTTTGTTTAAAAAAAAAAAAACAAACAAACAGAACCTGACAGAAAAATAAATAAGAGACAAACAGGAATAAATAAAAGACAACAACAGAAAGCCTACCCAGACAAAGAGGTACAGGATAGTTCCATCTCCTCACTGGCCCGGGCATGCAGGTGATGTGTGCATTGCCCTAGAAATGTAAAAAAAATAACCACAATTTATTATCACAGATGAGCAGTCACAACAGATGAGCAGATAATTTAGTTTGCACCTCTCTCTGTTCCATCGCTAAACTTAACACGTTGTTTAAAGAGTGTGAAGTTCGGTTCTCTCTCTCTCTCTCTGCTGCAGCTGTATATTAAAGCAGGGCCAATGGTGAAGCCTTAATTAGGGCTGTTACAGTATACTGACCACAGCAGAGACGTGCATACATTATTCAGGGGTTTGTGCAAATACAACAGGCAGCGTGGTGGGAGGAACATCTGAGGTCTCCCCCTGAATCACAGATTTAACTCCTGTGGCTTTGTAAAACCAGGGCAGAAGATCAGAGAAGCTCTGCAGCCTTTCAAGACTTTACAGACTGTATCTGCAGTCAGTCTGCACTAAACTACTGCAACAACAGCAGTTATCCTCCAGCCCTCTCTGTGTGTGTGTGTGTGTGTGTGAGAGAGAGAGAGAGTGAGACTGCGTTTTTTTTGTATTTATACCTGAAGAGAGTATCCTTGCTCACAGGAAAACTGCACCACGTCTCCCACCATAAATCTGTCCCCTTGTCTGATTCCGTAGTTTGGAGTCTGAGGCTCCGGGCAGGACTCCAGGCCAATTGCTGAGGGAAAAGAATTATGGCGCTATTATTTATACACTGCATGAGGCACAGAGACTACGCTTCCTCAAAGGATGAGAGCGGTACCTGTGTATTCCAGGTGAAACCCGGCAGCTGAGACACTAATATCAGAACTGAAGCTCAGATGGAGGTTGTTAGATGTGCTGTTCAGAAGAGGAGGGATGGTGGTGCCTGCAAACACGGAGAACAAAAAGAGATCAGCTGGGTTTTGTTTTTTTTTTTTTCATTATCTGATTTTCTGGAGAAACATCAAAACCCTCCCACGCATGCATTTTGACTTTTTTCTGTTTGTGAACTCTTCTTGAAGCAGGGGAAAGGAATTACTTTTTATTTGAGACATGTATTGTGATTGAGAGCACTTTTCAAATGTTGGTTTGACCTACTTAGGCCGGCGAAGGGAAAGTGCAAAGTTAAAACTGCAGCACTGCAGCAAACTGAGGAGAAGAAGCTGGCACAGAGCAACAGAAGGATTTTTGTCCTTTTTTTTTTTTTTCTCCATGATGTAATGAAATATAAAGGGACATTAACCTCCTCCATCCCCTGATCATTTGGAAATGGAGGTCTTGGCTGGCTTTAGGAGACATGGTGGTAACAATACCATCTACATTTTTTCTTTGGGGGGAGGATGGAGGAGTGGGGCGATGGGCAATCAATACTCAGTATGAGTTTGTGTGCTTTTATTTGTTTTCTCATTATTGTTCTATTCAAAAATTAGTTTTCCTTAAAACAATGAGAGGCAACAATAACGACACTAACTTTAGGACGAATACAAAAACAACATGTATTGACTGACCAATCAACACCTAAAAATGAGACAGACACCAAATACAATCAAAAACCATTTTCTTTTGTGAAAATAAGGGACGGAGAAGATAATATAGGTGAGGCCCAGTGTGTGTGTGTGTGTGTTGGATTTAATAATCTATACGTGATTTACAGATATGAACTCACTCCTAATTTATGTCCGTACACTAGTATGCAGTGGCCATGAATTACAATTAAGTGCTTTAAATATGTGAGGCTGCAGCATGTGCAAAAGACTGATGGTTCAATGGAGATTTAGCTGGGTTGCCACAGTCTAATCTAATCTAATCTAAAATAGGTGATCATCAATCAGTATAACTACTCACCTAATAAAATTGAATCGAAAGAGAACGTTTTGAATTGGACTGGCTCAGGTCAAGATGGATCTAATTTTATCTAATCCAATCTAATCTAATCCCATCTCATGTCATATGATTTAATCTGATCTCATCAAATCCCATCGAATCCAGTCAGAACTAGTCTAGTTCTAATTTAATCTAATCAACATTAAATCAAGTTACAATTTCACTTCACTGACATTCAAAGTGCAGCAGCAAAAAGATGAATGTAGCAGCAGCATTCCTCTGAATGAGCAGCTGATGTGAAGCCTGTGCATATGATTGGTTGTCTGCTGTAAAGAGACGAGGAGGTTTTTGAAGAGTCGACCCCTGCTGGTTCTGCTCGCATTCCAGAAAAGAAAAAAAATCTAATTTCTTATCATGACACAGATAAACTGTTGACATAATAAAAGAAATAAAGCCTAAAAAAAATTGAAGATAAATTATAAATAATTAGCACTGTGTATTTAGCTATAACAATTATCTGTGCATGTGTGACAGCATTCATTAAGAAACATAATTAACACGGTTAAATTGATTCATCAATTGGCCTCAGCGTAGTAACGTGGTGATTTTTTTTTTCTTTGGCTGTTTCATTTAACATCATCTCTTCTCTAGCCTGATGTGAAGAAGTCAAACGATACAAATGGGGTCTTTAACACGACCAGGAGATAAACATAGTGACTTTGCACCTCCTAAAAGCCGTATTAACATCTCCAGAAGATGCTGACTCCTCATGTAGACGGATGCTTGAATTATGCAAGTGACTGAAGCCAGAACAGCAGTTCAGAGAGAGCGAGGAGAAGGTGTTGGCCAAAAGTGCAGTTGCAATTAGAGGGGGCAGTTATTTCTTTTGTACAGACACTTGTACAGATCTGTTGTTCTAACAAGATGTCAATGTAGGAAGTCTGTGTTTAGCCGTTTCTGCCGTATTTTAGCTGCTTTATTTTTATTTATTTATTTCAGATCAAACTATCACAACATATTAACCTGAGTATGAGTATTGCTAATCCTACATTTATGAAGTTTTTGCAGAGCACATAAAACGATTGGGTCGTATGATGTAACCTAACGACATACAGCTCTACAGTACTCACAGTCTTATTGAGAAAAAACAATTACATGTAATTAATTTTTCCATTAATAAAACCTGATTATCTTATTTAGTTGTCTAAGTGTTTCATTTGGACAAGTTACCTTTGAAATAAATTTTAAAAAAACAGTGTCAGTGACATTAAATATTTCATAAAGTACATGCAATTATATTATCTGACTCCTGAATATTTATTCGCTTAATCAAAGACACATGCTCTCTGCAGGATGCTTCATTAAAAAGATTTAGGGATCATAAAAGATATCTATATATTTCCTTTAATTAACATATTAACCAGAGCATGTTACGGGCTGATGAGGAAGGATCTATTTCACAATAATAATTAGCGAGTGTAAAATAATCAATTATATATGGAAGGAGCATTTTCTCATATGTCTCTAATGAAGTGGCAGATAAACAAGCAGGTGTCAGTGGGAGAGATGCTCTGCTCCTGCTGAGACACACACACACTGGGAGATACTGCAGCAACAACTGCGCTTTCTGTGAGGAGCACCAAGTATGCTTCACACATGGTGTCGAGTCAGACTATATTCAACAAAGATACTGTAATTACTGAAGAAAAAACAAACTAAATAATATTAAACATGAGTGTGAAGTCCTGAGGGCAGATTTGAAAATGTGCCCTCCTGTAATACTTTGAAACATAATGAAGTGAAACCTACGCTATAGTACATATTAGTATTCATAAAAAAAAACTATTCTACTGTACGTATATGTAACTGCCGTTAAAAAGAACAACTTCTCACCAGAGTAGCTGCCCAGTCTTGGAGCATGGTTGTCGGCGCCGTCGTAAAAATCCAAAGAGTCCCAGTTGTGTTCTGTTGCAAAACTTACAACCTGAATCTGGAAAATTTTAAGAAAAAAGAGGGATAAAATGATGAAGTGCTCTCTTAAGGAAATTACGTGCGGAGGAAAACCAATCCAGGATGTCAATGATGCATAAATATATTTAATGAAATTGAATAAGTGACACATTATGAACAAAATGCATGCAACAATAATCGACAATAATGTGATTAACTGTGAATTTGGTTTGAAGTGTAAATGTTGTAAGTTTTGTTGAATATAAAATAAACTTTATCTCTGCAGCACCTTAAGTTGTGTAAGCTGGCACATCCTCAGACTTTATCTGTCCTGATTAAATACATCCTCGTTATCTGTAAATGCTGCCTCTCTCTTAAATGATCCATCCATCCAATCATCCAATCCATCCATCCATTACTCTCATAATATCTTATCTCTGCTGACATCTTGTCTGCTCGTGTTTTCAAGCCAATGATACACAGGTCAGCCAGGACATGTCTATGTAAGTGTGTGTGTGTGTATTTATATCTATAAAAGGCACTTACCTGAATTCCAGCCCCCTCAGGAACAGACACCTTCCACACACAGTTCTGGTTGTTGTCGTACGGCTCTGGATAACCAGGTGACAGGATGGTTCCACGACGAGAGGTCAAAACGCCCCCACAGGGAACTGAGGAGACAGGGAGAGACAGAAAGAACGAGCAGCTGTGACAACCAGAAGAGAGAGAAAAGGTGGGAAGAAAGGTTGAACCCACACATTCACTAACGAGAGAAAAAGAACACGAGCTGACCCAACTCGTTAAACGAGACAAAAAAAAAGAAAAAAAGAAAAAGACCAGCCACAATGCAGCCAGGCCTTTGACGTCGCCAAATTAAAGGCTGGGTTAATTCAATCTGTTGTCAAACTTTTCCAATAATCTTTCTGCATATTTGTCGATTAAACAAATTGACTAACTTCTAGTTGTCAGCAAAGTTTCCGGTTTTGAGCCGACTGTTTTTGCTTCCTTAAAGCCTTTCAGGAACTGTTACCTGTGTTGACACTTTTTTAGCTTTTAGTGTTATCTGTCTAGAAAATCCCAGGTTTGTTTACCAATGCATGTCGGCAGGGTGTCGTTCCACTGTGCCAGGTTGTCTGGAACACTCTCGCAGCGTATGGCAGTAGAACCGTGCAGGACATAACCGGGGTTGCACTCAAACTGCACCAAGGAGCCCACAGCAAAGTCGTTACCCAGGCGCTTCCCAAAGCGGGGCTCGGGGACTGAACTGCACTGGGTGGAGCTGGTTCTCGGTACAGCTGTGGAGGAAAAAAACAAAAAACAACACTGAATCAATTTCAATAAAAAATAGTTTTTTATACCCTGTCTAAAAAGTGTGTAAATGGGCAAAAGAGAAACTAAATGTTTTTCTTTCATCTATTTGTGTGTGTGCACACTGACCTTGATAAACAAAGTGAAATCCTTTGGCGGTCTCTGGTCCAACTGTTGTGAACTTTATGGTGATCTGGTTTCCTGAACTCAAAGGGAGAGACTCACCTGAACAGAATCAAATAATCCCGTTAAAATCCATTCATCCATCCATCCATTTCCATCACAGTTTAAATTGTCTGTCTACTCATTATTTCCTCCTTACCAGAGTGAGATCCAGAGAGAGACGACAGCAGTGTGTTCTGTTGACTGGGACCATCATAAATCTCTACCACATCATTCAGAGACGTTTGGAACAACACAAACTGACCAAAGAGAACTACAGACAGAACAGAACAGAGAAAGAAAAAGGGTAGGAATCAGATACAGAGATGAGTTAACACTTGAATGGTGGTTAATTGTTCTACTGTAATGCCCAATGGGCCTGACCTTCCTGTGATTATATTAACCTGTGATGCCAAATATACATTTAATGAGCTGCAGTGTCAGCCTTTATTTAAATAAAAATCTCAACAATGTCCCATTTTGGGATATAGAAAAGTCCACTTTACTGCATTTTAATCAAGCACTGGTGCCTTTAAGATTCCCTTAAAGTGCATTGATAAATATGAATTCCTCAAAATGCTGATACAGGCAGAGACTGACTATGTATACTAGCATAAGATTTGTTTTCAGCTTGTATTCATAGGGAGGGAGAAGCCTGTGATGATGTCAGTCAAGTATATAACATAACATGTCAAGACAATATCACAAATGCAACTAGAGCCTGAAGGACATCGATTACAGGGTTTACAGTAGTTTAAAATCAATCCGCAAGAAAAAAGACAAAAACACCGTGGGATTAATTACACACTCAGTTGCACAGACGACTGTTTTACTTAGTGGAAAAGAAGGAAAAGAAAATGATTTCTGTGGAGACCAGGCATTAAACCAATGTCTGCCATAACACAGCTGGAAATTCTCAGTTCAATCATAGATTTTATGGCATACAAGCTGTAATAACCTGTAGTGTTCAAGGCCACCTGAGACTCTTTAGTTTATTCAAAGTTGATAAAGTATAAAGCTAATGTTTCTAATACATTAAAGCCTAATTCACTTTTTGTAAATGAAACGGAAAACTGAACTTAAAGAACGAGATATAGTCCCCTATCTAGAAGCTTTTTCAAAACGATTCACCAACTGTTAACATCCCTAATCTAAAATGATTCACAACTGTTAACATACCTGATACTTAATGTTCATAACACCTAGCACGTACCCAATGATACCTAATGTTCGTAACACCTAGCACGTACCCATCAGTCACGATACCTAATGTTCATAACACCTAGCACGTACCCATCAGTCACTCTGGCTGCAGACCAAGGCAATATCTTTACTTTTCTGCCACACCTGACATTCTTTTACTGTACACTTTCATGCCCATTCTCTTGAGCTTTTGGAGTATTTGTATATATTTATTTCCCAAGTTTGAGGACATCCTGGAAACAACGCTTTATTTTTTATCCAGACTTTGGATGCACTGGCGCTCAGACCATCTGAGACTGTAATCTAATTTAAGTTGGCAAACAAACAAAACATCTACATTTTTCTATCCCTCTCTTAATAATTTGCCTTTCACTTTGAACGTAGCATAGCACAGACAAAATAAATTGTATGTCGTAAGTTTAAATGACATTTTCCTGCTCATAATAAAGAGATACCGACTGAAAAGGACAAAGCTGCAGGGAGAATCCAAGCTTTACGTGGCAGACAGACCTCTTAAATCTTCCACAAGGTCGTATATGAGGATGTATAAAGTGTCACAGTGTTGAGTGCACATCAAATGTGATAAGATTCTGCCAGTCAGCAAAACAGTTAAAAGCTTCAGCTGTGATTAAGGTTTGCTATATTATTGACGTTCTGCCTGTTAGACAGAGTGGTTCAAGGCATGTAAAATATTATAGGCAGCAAGGCACAAACATACCAACCAGCCTCACTGTACTGAGTCATGAAAAACAAACAAAAATGTACCTGCTTAAAATATTTCACATCAGAAAAACTCATTTACACACAATGTCTCAGCAAAGCGAACTTTAGCGTACGCTTCAGGCCTTTACTAAAACACTACCACTGTAGCTGCCGGGTGGACTTCACATTGGAGCGGTGATGCATTTAAATATCTTTGACGTCATGTGACTGCTGTAGTCTCTTTATCCAGGCCTTAAAGTGACAAACAGAGCTTGCAAATAGTCAACCTGCTTTGTTATTGACAGACTGAAAGACTTCAGTAGCTCCTGATAACAAAAAGAAAACAAGAAAAATTGGACTCCAATTGCTGAAGAGGATCCATGCTGTGGAGCAATCACACCGCCTGATGAGCTGTTTAGTGGGACAACTGTGTGTGGTTTTTCATGACCTGTTTGTTAGACTGAGGTTGGCTACACTTAAAATATCATTAAACGTTCATTTTGTACAATCATTAAGAACAGGTGTGAGAAACTATTTTTGTGTGTTTTTCCACCAAATGTAGACCAAACAAACGTTAGTTCCACTCACTCAAAACATCTTTACAAAGCTGTCAAGCATAATGAGACAGAAATTCAACAGCCTCGGGGAAGGGCTGGTATTTGTTCATAATAATGCAGGATAAAATTAGATATTCCATCCAACAATTAATGGTTGTTTGTAAAAGCTCACAACCAGAGAGCATAAAAAATATTTTACAGCTCGCATTTCCACCAATCTGTCACCACAACAACAGCAACTCCAAAACAGCAGTAATGGCCAGGGATAAAAAAGTGAAGGGTACTAAAGATACACCTAACCAGGACAACCGAGATCTGTCTCTGTATTAGCTAAAAATAAACAAATGTCAGCAGCTCTAGTTGGCAGTAGTTTTTGCAGAGAAAAGCCAAGCTGATATGTAGTTTAGCCCAAACTATAACTAGCTAAAAGAAGACTAAAAATGACAGCTAAAGATTACTTCAAAGGCTAAATCGAGGTACAATATACTAGTAAAATATATTGGGATGAAGTCGTGCCATGAGCCAGCTGGAAGTTAACACACAATCAGCAAAACTCTGTCAAAGGATTGATCAGGAGATTGATACGGGGAAAGTTAACTTTCTACTCCAGTAGTGGGCAGTAAAAAGTTTTTCTTGGAAAGAAATCTTTCAAAAAGATTCACCATTACTGCTCCACTGCACTTCTATACACACAGTGTCAGACTGTGTCATACTTTAAATGTCAACAAACTTACCAAACTCTCTGGGTACAGATATAGAGTAGACACAGGTCTGGGCAGAGGTGTAGTTCCTGGGGAAATTAGGAGATAAAACAGTTCCTTCTGTTCCTGTGGAACGACTTCCACAGGGTGCTGGAAAGAAAAATGACCAATTAGAAATGTCTTTACATTTTACTATATTTTAAGTGTTTTTTTTTCTTCTTTTTTACCTTGACAGCTTGGCAGTGCTCTATTCCAGCCTGGTCTACCATCCTCTCCCATACTGCACGTTAAGGTGGAATAACCCTAAAGAGGAACGCATTATCAACCATCTATCAACTAAGCCCAACCAACCATCCAACTAGTCATTCATTTGTGTATTCTACCTGCAAAACATATCCTGCTTCACAGTAGAAGGTAACAGTGGATCCCAGTTTGTAGTCAGATCCCAATCTGGTTCCATTCAGAACTACACCAGGGTCAAAGCAGGATTCCCTCAGTTTGGCTGGACACATGGAGAGAGGAAGAAAAGAGAAAGAGAGAGAGAAAGAAGGGTTGAGGCAAAGACAAAGTGATGGGTGCACTTGAATAATCAAATTCAAATCAAAGTCAGATTAATAATAACTCAGTCCTGAATCATAATCAAATGAGGCAGGCGCTCCGCCGTCCCTGTTTTAAAACAGTCAGACGCAGTTGCCTCGGCCCGAAAATAGAGCCAGAATGATAACTTGATTCCCCCGGCTTTTGTACGGTACACGAACCTGGTAAATTATGACTGTGGGCCACTCACGAGAGATTAACAGTCACTGTGCATTCATTTAGGATTTAGTCCAAACCAGGCTACTGTTGGAGGCTTTTGTTAAGTGACTGAAAACACAAACTTCTCTCAAGAGTCTTTTTTAACAATATTCTCTATTAGAGGCTAGGCATCTTCTACTTCCTCACCATGATCCAGCTGAACATTTTACACTTCTCACTGTTGTATCTTTTTCTTGTTTTACTATTTTCGGCAATGATGTCATCAGTATTCAGTCGACATGGAAAAAGGTGGCAGCATGGGTAGAGTATTGTTTTACCTTTGTATTCCAGATGGAAGCCAGTATAGGAAACGGAGCCATCGCTGCGGAATGCTAAGTGCATGGTATTTGAACTGCTCTCGATCCGTTCTGGGAGTTTGCTGTCCTGAAAGCTACCAATCAGAGGGCTGTTGCTATCTGGGCCATCGTAGATGTACAGGAAGTCATAGTTTGGTTCAATGTTGAAACTGGTGAAAGGTGGAGAAATGGAATCGAAATAGCATTTGTAAGACGTGATTTTATTCAAGTAAAAAAAACAAACAGAAAAGAGCATTTGGGTAAAACAAAAGACCAAAATCAGATGACTCGCCACTCACCCGATGAATGCCAGCGAAAGGACATAGTCAGAGTTGACAGCGATCAACCAATCACAGTCCTTGGAGTGAGGGTAGGGGTGTGGGTAGTTGGGAGAGAGAATAAACCCATTGGAGCCTGTGAGGTTTCCTCCACACGGAGCTGTGACGGAAACACGGGCGGTGACAAGTTGTAAAAGATGATGAAAAATTCAAATATTCCTTCAGGTGTGACCAGACAGAAGGAGAAACTAATTTACACCCAGTTTGGACAATATTTATATTTTACTGAGAGTATATAAAGCTAGAGGGAGAGAATGTTCTTCCAATTGAATCAGCAGCAGTATGCAGAGATGCAGATAAAGAAATATATACTGTAGTGCCACACTTCCCACTTGCTTTCTCGTGCAGATATACAGTAAGTCAAATGCAGAGGTATCCTTGAGCAAGGTAATGGAGCCTTAATAACTTGGGCTGTGTATGAAGCGAGTAAATGTGTTTTTCACCCTCATGATATATGGAAGCCAGAATTTTTTATTTTTTTTCCACACCTATACAGACAGGCGGACTGGGTTTCCCACACCTATACAGACAGGCGGACTGGGCTGCCAGTAGTATCTGTTATCCACTTGGATACAGGTGATTTTGTCGTCCCCCTGGAGCTCATATCCTGGGTCACACTGAAAGGACACCGAATCCCCTGGCTCACGGCCATCTCCACTTCGGCTACCGTTCATTGGCACGCCTGGGTCCCTGCAGGCTGTGGCCACTGAGCCTGGACAGAGAGAGGCATGAAGGTAGGGAGAGAGAGAGAGAGAGAGCGGGGGAGAGAGATGGGAAGGGAGAAAGAAGAAGCAATAGAGGAGAAAGCAGGAGATACTTAAAAAAAAATCTGTCACACACCAGATTCCTGTAGCTATTAGACTGATGCATTAAATCACTGAATGAAATGAAGTGAAGTAACAGTTTACTGTCATGCATTATGAGTAAAACTGCTTAGATCGCTTTTGACGGGACTTTTATGCAGATTTAGCATCTGTTGATGTTGACATTGATTTCTTTTTAACCAACTTAAAGGGTCCAGTGGACACTAACAGTATAATCCCATCCAGGACAGTCTAATACAGCGTGGTAACTGCAAATAAATTATAGAAAGTACACAGAAACTTCAAAGTGGAGGTAAAACTTTCTTATGAGCAGAACTTACTGGAGAACTGTATGGCGAACCCTGACTTGCTGATGTAAAAGTCAGTCTCAAATTGCACGGTGACAGTGTTGAGGGTAGAGTGAATGCCCTCAGGTATCAGGGAGCCGCTGAGCTCAGCCAAAGACATTTCATTTTCCGGTGGTCCGTCCCACACCTTAAGCATATCGTGGCTGGCTTCAGTGTCGAAGGCCAAGAACTGGAGACTGCGAGATGGGAATGAATAAATAAAAGATCATTTACAACATAAATATGAATTCTTCATCACGGTACAGCTCTGCAAATGTCAAATGAAGTCCTGATGCTTTACAACTTCAACAATCAAAGTGAAAAGTGTGAATAAATTATAAACATCAGGGTCGAGAATTAACAGGGTAACAAGCCAGGACAAGTTCTGAATCTGCCTTTGAATTTTTAAGGACTTTTTATGCCTCTGTAAAATATACAGCACAGTAGCCACTTTGTGCAGAGTCTGTGTAGAAATTACAATTACAACCAGGCTTCAGTTGCATGGTCAACTTGTGTGCCAGTTCTGGTGTATTAGTTCAGCAATGTTGTAAGAGTACACATCAGATAGGCATTGTTCAATTTGCAAAGGGTCAGAAATAACTAAAGATACAAACAAAACTATAACTAAAATAGCTATAGTTTAGCAAACAATTTAGCATAAAAATGGAAAAATAGCATGTATCTTAAAATCTAAGCATTAAAAGAAAGTTAGCCTTAAAAACATGGTAACATATAGGTCATAGAAAAAGCCTCTTAAAAGCTCCAACACCAAAGCATTGCAACCATAACAACATGAACCAGCCTGGAATTTTTCTCCTCACCTCACAATATTCCCAGAATCCACCTCGATGGTCCAGGTGCAGCGCAGATTGTTGTCATATGGAAATGGGTAACCAGGAGAGAGGATCCTCCCTGTGGACTCGCCCTTAAAACGGCCACCGCACTCCGCTGCAGGGAAGACAAAGAGACACCAAAACTCTCATAAATAAATCACTTTAACTATGTATGCCAATGGTACAATGACAATGTAAAAAATACTATTAATTAGAGAATAGCCTCAGGTGAAGCCGACATGTCCTCCAAACATCTAAGGTTCGCCCTTGAAATTAGCATGACAGAGAGTTTTTTAACAAAGATGTGAAACAGGTGGATACTGTCGGTGATGGTGATGAGGCATGGTGAACGCTTTGACGTGTTAAATCATAAAAACTGTTGCAGAATTACATAATGGAGAGAACATTAGGTTGAAGCAGTAACCTAATCCTGCATGTATTTGGACTGGGGAGAAAACGAGACTACCAGCATAAAAACCAGACATACAAGGAGAACTATATTCATTGGAAACTAGACCAAAATAAATGAAAGATGTTTTTCTTACATTGGATAAAATAACCCTGGAAGAGAGAGCAATTGCAGGTAACAAATGTACGCTTTTTTAACTGTGCAAGTCAATTCTGAACGGCCTCGTTCAGCTCAGACATCAACATGCATGTGCAGTCACCTGGTCGCAGGGGAAGAGCTCTGAATACATCATTTCACAGCCGACATTACACTCTGTCTCTACAGGCGTCTCCTGTGACCACTTGTGATCTGCTCTCGCCTCCCTGCTCTGTATGCAAATAAACACCTTCATCATTTTCTGTGTGCACGCCTGCTGATGTACGGATTATTTAGAGGTGGATCTATTGTCCGTGCATGTGTGTGTCTCCGTGATAGATGTGCTGTCCACCATTAGTGTATGACAAAATAAAAGGACTGACTTTTCTTTTGTTTTTGTTCAATACAAATACATTCCTGCCAATTCTGGACAAAAAATTGCAATTCATTGGCTCATTTACTCCTGCCAATTCTGGACAAAAATTGCAATTCATTGGCTCATTTACATGTTGATTAACTTTTCACATTTGCAACAATTACATAATTTTGCTACCCACAATTAGATTTTTTTAGACTACTTTTGCTTGTTTTTAAAGCATGGAAGGAAGTGACATTAGGTCCTGTCTTTTATAGGATTCATTACAGCTGATGTAAAATGTGTAGATCAGTTCTGTTAAAATAACTTGTGGGTCTAAATGATGTGACCTGGCAACCATGATGTGAGGAAAAAAAAGTGAAGATCACGTTTGGCTTTCTGCCACAATCAATCTGCTCTGGGATTTGATGTGTCCCAGGTTTGTGTCTGACCATCTCTGACTGTATGTCACGTCTTCAGGTGTGTACTTAAAAGGATGAACATGTGATCACGTCTACCTGAGACCGACCTCGTTTATACCGTGTCTGAACAGGACCCTGGACAATTGTTTATCACTGCTATCGGAGCCATTACGTGCACCCAAGGAGCCACTGCAGTGATTAAAGGAGCAGCCAGGAGAAAAATGCATTAGGGAGGAGGAGGAGGAGGAGGAGGAGGATGTTTTTTCAATTGTGTCGGTATTTTTCTTTACTGAGAGAGGAGCAGAAAAGAAATACCAGACAAAGTTCTCCCAACAGAAAATGCCGCACATTATATAACAGAACAGAATTTGCCCTTCTCCTTTTGTCTCACTTGGTTATATATTTTCACAATCTTTATTTCTCTGCTTCTCCTCCCTCACATTGTTCCTCCTCCCCCAGGCTCCCCTCCCTTCATCCATGGAATACATTATCTGGAGTAATAGGAGCAATATTAAGAGTTAGGATGGAGAAAAAGAGAGAGAAAAGGAGGCAAAAAAAGGGAAAAGAAAGAAAAAGAATGGAAGAAGGCAATGGCTGGTAAGAGGATACACTTCCAGTCATAATACGAAGCAATATAATATTAAGACTGGAGGTGAGCCGAGGTCATTGTGTGTCACTGCTAAAATATAAAGTCAAAGAATATCAGCCGGTGCTTTTATGAATCTTTCATTATTGATAGTGAGAAGGAAGAAGGGGAGGCTTATTAAGCTGAATCTAAAATCAGAAATCTGAGAGGCAGCACTGAGGTTTTGCTTACTGTTACACACTTTCACTCCTCGCCTAGGACGCAGCTGCTGTCGCTAGATTTAAAGTCATGTCGGCCTCAGTATGATGTGGCCTTAGTGTGTGTTTGGTTTTAATTGGTGAACGCAATCATCTCACCTAATTACCAGAGGAAATGAAAACCTCATATATATATATTTATATATATATATATATATATACAGAGAGAGAGAGAGAGAGAGAGAAAGAGAGCAACAAGAAGACTTGGATCTAGAGGCCAACAGAGTAAAGCCCAGTATATACACCTGGCTTTTATGTTAAGACTCTAAAGCGAGTGCATTGTTCGAGAGCCACGAAGGTAATACCAACTGGAAATTGGCCTCCACCAGACTGTTGGAGGGAACACTGAGTAACTGTGTAATAGAAGCTCTACTGCTACTGCTCTGCTCCATAATGTTTTTAAAAAGTTATGGTGCAACAGCTGAGAGCTGGAATGGTAATATTCCAGTTCAGTCCAGAGTGTTTTTTTAAAGAGTTTTCTTATCTTAATTATACAGTTTCATTTGTTAATGTTTTTGGTGTAAAAAGACGTACCGATACAGGAAGGCAGAGGGTTGTCCCAGGCTCTCCTTTCCCCGGTCATGCACTTCAGTGTGGACGCTCCGTGCAGGGTGTATCCAGGCTCACATCTGTATGTGATGCTGCTCCCAGAGAAGTGACCTTGGTCATTGACCTTGAAGCCAAACTGGGGGACGCCTGGGTCCTCACAGTGAGACAATTCAAAACCTAAAATAATGGAAAATAAAATAACATTTTTAGAAATATTATTAATTGAAATGCAAACTGTATGGTATTTAAATACTTCTTTTTATATTTGATCATTTATATCTGATACTGGTAGTCAGAAAAATGAAGAATAAAAACAAGAGACCAACAGGTCATACATGTAATTCTGCATCCTGTATGTTGTAGTTTCAGTTTTCAAGCAAAGCCTTCAGTGGGAGATGCAGACAAATGTATATAAATATCTCATCCATCTAAGACAATAACCAGGAGCTGAGCTCCAGGGTTGCCTGGAAGACAAGGTGTGGCCATATTTGAGTCATCTCCTGGAAGACTGCAGCAGGCGCTTATCTCAGTGCTTCAAAATGACTCTGTGCAGTGTTTTATTTTTAACATTTGAAAATAATTAGCCACTTTGCCGACTTTCGGTTTAAAAGAAAAACGAACAATTTTCACGAAGAAAAATAGGCAATTCTGTGTCATACAAATAAAAATTAAGACATAAATTTGTGTCTTTTTCTACCACATTTTTACACAAAATAGCGATATATAATAGTGAACAGGACATGGTGCAGAGCGGAAGAGAAAGTGTGCTCATCCACTCTTCTCACGCAGAACAGCGACACGACGTCTTCAAAGCATTATGCAGATTATCTTGGTTGACTCCATTTATACAATTAGGTTTTTTTTCCTCTCATTCCCCCGATGCATCAAAGACGACGCTGCCAAATGTGCGAAACATCATTAGCACACCTTTAACACCACTTTCTTCAAAGAAGTCAAAGCGTCGTGCAGACCCAGTTAATCAAACATGACAAATTTCTCTGTGATCACTTCAGTGTGCCGCAATTAAAGGGAGCTCTTTGATGGTTACGCAAATTAGAGCCATTTAGAGTTAAATTGGTTCATCAAGAATGTTACATTTGTCAAGAATCCGAAACAGCTCTCTCATGGCTTTTAATTGCTAGTTTGATATAATTCTGATAGCGAGGAGTTTTTGTCTAGCGTGTTGCCAATCTTCTGTCTTGTTTTATGTAATTTAGTGTCATGTGACAGATTATTATCGAAATTTCATTTTATTTATTTATTTTTATTTAGTGAATTTGAGGAAAAAAAATATTATTTTCAGAGCAGCATTCAGATTTCAGTAGAGACAACCAAATACTTGTTAGTCTGGCAAAAGCATCTAAATTTACATATAAACATGAACGCCTAGTGAGTATGTAACCAAACAACATGAAAATGACAATAAGTTGGACAAAACCAAAACCCATTCGTTCACCTTAGATGCCTGTTTATTAATTAATATAATAAGGTATACTCACTTGTTTGTTCTGTTTTGTCTCATTCTCATCTCTGTGTTCTTTAAATACACATTCATGTAGTTGATATATGCAAAATACGTTAAAGGCTGCATAATTTCAATCATTGGTTGAGTGTTTAAAAAAACAAATATTTGAGTTTTGGTGATGTTTGTTTCAGAGTTTTAGGTTGCTCAACTCTGAGCCTATCAGCACTTTTTCTGAGTAAAAAAAAAAGGTTTTTATATGATTGTAAACTGGGACAGAAGTTCCTTCCACCTATAACTTCACTCTCTAACTTCCACAGTTTAACCACACGAAAACAAAATAACATTTGAATTCATGTTAAAAACCAAAAGAGTTTCTTTCACGGCCAATTTACATTATAGAGCTTCAACTCCTCGTAAAATATACCACATACTTCTAGGTGAGATTGTAAATGCTGGAAAGTTTATAAAAGTTAGCCGCACTAGCGGTGAACTTACTTGAATACACCAACTTGAAACCCTCTCCTGTACTTTCTGTATCGCTGAAAAATTCAAGCCACAGATGGTTTGAAGTGGAAATGAGAGTCAGGCCCAGCATGGACGACCCAGTGAACGCTCCAAGAACATGGGCTGTGTTGTCTTTGCCATCATAAACCTGCACAGACAACAAACACTCAACACCAGTCAGGATGCAATTCAAAAGGACTAACAACAAACCCATTTGTTTCATCCTCACCGACACCCGAAAACCTGGCAGAGAGGATGATGCCGGAATCGACAAAGGATTGTGGGGGATTGTGTTTACCTTAAGTATGTCCCCCTGGGCAAGATGAAAGGTTCGAGCAGAGATGTTGATTCCTTTCCCAGCCTGAACCTAAAGTGTGCATTAAAATCCAATACAACAAAGTCAACAACAACTGTCTTTACAAAGGCTTCGTTACATCACCAGCATCCCAGCTAAGAACATCATTAAAGCCCTTCGTCTGTAGAGCAGCCTTGCGTTATTTAAGACAACAGCATGTTTTTATGTGTGCTGAAGGATGTACAGAGTTATTACCTGGATGCTATAGATGCACTCGTGGTTGTTGTCATAGTTCATGGGGTAGTTTGGGGAGAGTAGGATCCCTTCATTGTTGATGACAGATGAACCACACTCCGCTGTTGACAGAAAGAAAAACAACAGCATCTTTACATGAAGACTGGGATGAGACTGGGCGCGTGGAGTTGAAGACACTTTTTTCATGTAACTTTTTCAAGTAAAAGCAATACCTGAATCGCATGAAAAATCATTGTATTAGTTTTTTTTTTTAATAAGAAGAAATACTTCGATTTTTATCTGTGTGGGTTTTGACAGTTTGTCAACGACACTAAATCAAACTCTAAACACTTTCCACATGATGTTAGAAAAGTTAGAGGTTATAATATCTGGAAATGTTCGGCAACCATACAATAATCTTGTGTCAGTAATCTTTCGTCAAGTTTCTTTTTCATTTCCTTTATCTAAAACGAATGGAGGAAAAAAAACAACAAGGATAACAATTCCATAAATGCATTCTGAATAAACGTTAGGATTTGAAACAAATAAAGATATTCAGTCAAGTCAAAATAAGAATACAAACCAGCTTCTTGGTATTAGGTTTTTCATTGATTTGATGACTGTTTCAGGTCAACCCTAGACAACATCTCAACATCTAGTATCTGATATACACTAAGCCAAAACCAGGGAGATAATGCTGATGGTTTTAATGGTGATATGAACACGGCCTGAAACCCTCTACTATAAGACCAGTCTAATTTAACCACCACCCAAACATCTGTGTGGTCAGCCATATATTTTTTATTCAGAGATTTATTTCCAAAATAATAACATTATTTAGACAATGAAGGGGCAAAAGGTTTATATAGCACAATAAAGAAATAATCTAATCATAAATGTCCAGCTGCCCCACAGCATCCAGCCCACCCTCTGGACCTCAGGGACACTGGAGAACATTATGTGAATTATTTTATTATGGTCATTGTTTCCATTGTGAGTCTTTGCTTAGTGGATATTGGCAGCCCACTCTTCCATATGGGCTGTATCTAATAAACCCTCCAAGCCATCTCTGTGTATTGACCAGACAACCCTCTCAAACAGCTGTACTGTCAGCAGTAAACCTCTGTAACGGGGCAACAACAGACAAACGTTCAGGATGTAATTTACCTAAAGACCCACAAACTGCGTACGTTCACCTGTGTCCCCTCTTCTCCACGTCGTGTCTGTCTTTTTTCCTCTCCATTCTCCCCCACCCCCCTTCATGTACCTACTGGTGTAATAGTCATATTACAGCTGTCATATTGTCAATAAATCAGGCTGCTAGAGTTTCCATTTAGAAAATTACTTCTAGAGGCTCTCCCTCTCTGCACTTTGACTCCCTCGCTCATGCCCGTTCTCTCTCTCTCTCTCTCTCCCTCTCCATTTGTAGTTTCCCTTTTGAGCTTCAATCGTGATTCTTCCACTTCACACAACAGTCATCCAATCTGTCTAGATTTTTTTTTTCCTTTGAGCTGCGAAAAATTAAATTGGGAACATGCAGCTGAGCATTGAGTTACAGAACCAATAACCACGTATGGACCAGGACAGCAAGCTAATTCTATTGTAGTCTATCTTTTGTACAAAGAATCAAAATATAACAAACCACAAATTATAATAGTAATCATAACAGCTGAGGGGTTACATGTACGAGGAGCTGCAATTCTCCCAATTAGCTAAAGCACAGCCTACCTTCCCTGAACCTTACTTTCATGTTTAGATTGTTGAAGATAAAGCAAGAAACTGAAAGACACAACAAGGGAAAAACAAGGAGACAACACTGTGTTGATGCTTCTACCCTAAATAAAACCACCATACGATCTGGAGGTATCAGACGTATCAACAAAATCCACCAAACAATAGGATCCAAAACTGAAGAAAGAAAACATCTTAGATCGTATGATATTTTTCAACATTATATAAAGTTGAATCTGGTCCATCTTTTTCGAAGCTTCAAGTCTACAGCAGACAAGAAAGACGAGTTTAAAACAATGTATTTTCTAAATGCAGTCAGAAAACCTAAATCCAACCGCTTGTAAAATGTTCTTTCAGTTTTGAGGGGAAAACCAGATGGAACTGGAACAAAACCTCTTTCAAATCAATAATTTCAACAGGTTTACTTTCAAGATTCATGAAAAAGAACTAAAAAGATTTGATGTTCTTTTTGAGGTTCAGAAACCTGATCATAGAAAACATAACACTCAGCTCGGTTTTCTACAAAGACAAGAGATAAAACTGAAAAATCAGACACCCAGGAATTTGCCGTAGAACTATTTAGTTAACCTTGTTTATGTGATAAACTTAGTGATTTTTTGTTACAAAACAAATAAAAACCTCCAGCAAAATTGAAAAAGAGACAGCAGTAAAAGATCACAAACAGACTCCTCGTTTTGTTTTTCTTCTTGTAGCTTAAATTGGGCTTTCATCTTACACTGTGATTTTACAGTGTCCAGTTTTTGTCCATCAACACATACAAAGTGCACATGAGAGTTTGGGAGTTTTCTGTTTGCTCAGCAGCCTATTTTCAAAGACAGTGTCCTAATGGATTAAACATATTAAAATCAATCCATTAATTTGCCTATTATCCCTGCGGGTTCACATGGTCTTTGCTTCTGATTATGTGCATTCATTAATTAGCAATTCAAGACAGAATATTCTCATTTTCCACTCAAGGTAGAAAGGTTTTCATCTGTTGTCGTCAAGGTGTTCATGGTTCACTGAGCCTTTCTCTGCTCTGTACGTACTGATAAAAACCCATATGTTTCACTTTGTGCTCCTTCTATGTGATTCCTTTTGTTTGCAGCTTGTACCATTTAATCATTTGGCAGACCACATTTCACAGCTTTACATTTACAGTTTCTGGAATATCTATAGGCACCACTAGTAGAATTACATGTACAAATGTGGTGCCTTGGTATTGTACACTTCAGAATGATGGCTCATTTTAAAAAAGAACTCCTCAAACAGTGGCTCCGTCCGCTTTAGAAACTGAAAACATGAGACTTGGAAATATGACATTCAAGAACACGTGCACAAATAAAAACAAAAACTCTAAACTCAAAAACTTTGGCATTTTCCCCCATGGTTTGTTCAATATTTATCTGATCGTCTTGCGAAAGCCAAACTTTAATACTAAATCCTGTCTGAATCATTTCCCATTCAGTAATTAATTCACTATGTTTTGAAGGACAGCTACAAAAGTTGGGGAATGTTGATGTATTTCTCTAACAAAGGATTAAAATACACACATTTTGATCAATGGAAAGAATCTTTTATATACTGTGTTTTTTAAGTAAGGTATTAAAGAAGACTGCTGCCTGTTAGACGTCTTCTTCAGTGAAGGGTTATTTGAGTTCAGAGAGCACAGGACTGAATAAGATAAAGACAAAGATAACTGGATTCATCCTGATGGAATGCCTCATGCCAGATAGTGGATAAATGGCCTTTACGGCCAAAAAGGTTCCACTTGCCCTTTTTACCTTCTTACTATTAAGTTACCATGTGAAACCCGAGGCAGAAAGTAGAGAAGGAGAGAATTTGTTTTTTTCTAACCTAGCAGAGAGAACTGGACATGAGGCAAATGAAAAGCCAAGCAGGGAAATCAACAGATAAAAACGAAGGATTATAATATTAAAAACCTTGACTTCCATTTGAGAAGATGATGAGCCTCCTCTAACTAGCCAGGTCCACAGGCTCCTATTGTCACTCTCCGATTATTGGGAATGCATTTTATTTTCAAAAAGTTATTAGAGCTGCTTCCGCCCAAATACACGAGTACGACTACAGAATGTTCAAACACTGGACTAGAAGAAAAAAGCTACAGCGTGAAATGGCACTGGGGATTTTCACAGGGAACAGCCGGTTTTCTGTCTGTGTTTTTCTTTGAGGTAGAGAATTGGTATTGATTGAATCAGATGTTGTAGGTCTGCTCCTACACCTCTGTGTTTCAGATAGTCCTTCTAAATATCAACAGCTATAATGAATATATATTGAATAAAAAGATTTAAAGCCCTTGTCCTTCATTGACACAACATTTCTACCATTATAAACCAACGTTGTCTCCTATACGGCTCTACAGCTATAACAACAGCAATATTGTTGCCACATACCAACACATCGTGGAAGAGGAGAGCTCCACATCCTCCGACCACCGCCCAGGCAGATCAACTCTGGCGCCCCCTCCAGGCGGTATCCCATATTGCAGGAAAAAGACAAGGTGTCGCCAACGCTGAAACTGTAGCCGTTTCTCCTGCCAAACTGAGGCATTCCAGGATCCTCACATGGCTCCAGAGTGTATTCTGGGGACAATAATCACACATGGTGTTATGCATGTTGATTTTTGCACAGTTTAAATAGTGCAGCATGGTCACAGGTGTAAGGAAAAGCGGAGAAGATGCAGGAAAATATGAAAAAGGAACATAAAACACCAAGGCACGAGAAACTTTGTATACACAAACATATATATAGAAATTTAATTGTAGTATATATTGTGCAAATATATACAAATTTAATTGTAGTATATATTGTGCAAAGTGCAAAAGAAAACAATGTGCAGGAAAGAAGAGTGAAAAAAAAAGATGAATGTTGTTCAGCCGACACATAACAGTGAGTTATTGTTCGAAAAAAATGTACGAGGTGGGATTTTTTTTTTTTATATCGCTCTTTACGACAGCTGAGCTGAATGAGTCAGAAATACTGTCAACTTCAATACAATCCATGATAAAGTATTTTTATGCTGCTGTAAACATTTTGGCAGACATTTTTGAAGTACTAACGGACTCCACCTGGTCCTGAACTAACTTCTCGTTTCCATAAATAAATGCGACTTGACCGGTGCACCTTCTCTGTTTTTCTTCTTCTTCAAAGTATAGTTGTTGTTTGTTGACTAATGGGACTAATGCTTTGGTATAATTAGTACGTGGTGGGAACAATCCCACCTACTCCATGTGTGACATAATATAATATTGCCTTTTCTAGTTTGGTGTCTGAAATACTGCCCACATTCTAAGTCCAAAGTTAATGGAAGAACATGGGGAGTCCTACACATCTAATGGAGGCTGTATGGAAACAAAACCCTGGGGCAGTGACACTATTAGTGTACAGTCTAATGGTATATACATCAATCCAACCCCAAGAAACCATGTGGTTTTAAACAGATGTGCAACTCAATATTGATTGTGGTTTGATTTCACTGCTAGTTGAATAACCAATGGACCAAACACTAATGTTTATAATTACAGCCAGTCACTTGTTTGAAAAACTATGAGATCATTCAGAGGAACTGAGTCATTGCTGACATCATCAAATGACCCAATCAGATGTTGATTATTTGCATGATTTATTTGACCCAGTGATTAAATTGCTATTCTGGATGTCGAGCAAACAAGGAATTTAACTCTTTAACTCTGAACAAAGAGAGCAAACTTTTGGTGTTAACATACATTTAGCCAATATATCTTGCTAAAGGGAATCCATCTCCAACTCATCGTGTACTTTTGTTTTGTTTAATGATGGATTGAATTTGGTTTAATGTTGTGTAACCTCAGTCTCACTCCCTGCAGTCTCGTGGGTTTTTTTCTTCTTCTTTGAGTTACTCCAGAAAAAAGGTTTAATGGTTTGTCGGTGACGGCAGCAGTGAACTGACACTTTCCAGCGGAAAAATGAGAGATAAACATTAACTTAACAAGCTACAGTATATGAGCCCTCACAAACCATGAGCCAAAATGATTTTTTCCATTCAGTGAGATGCTGTAGCACATCACTACATTATACAACAAAACGTGAAAAAAAGACGATATCTTTATTTTTCCCATGTCGCTGCTTTGCACTTTTATTCCTGCAAAGCACTGTTCTTTGGTAACTTCTCAAGTTAGGGTAAAGCTATGACAGATCATTTACTCCAATACACTTTAAGAGACATTTAGTGCCTCGGTCTGGCTAGAAGTATTGCTCTGGTTTCTTATCTTGAGAGAAAAAGAGAAAAAAAAGAGAAAGAGAGTGGGGGGGCTGATACTGTGCAAACTTTCACGGTGAGAGAGGGAGGGCTGATACTGTGCAAACTTTCACGGTGGGGGCTGTCACTGGAGGTAAAACGCACTCATAACTGATCAACTGCAACTTTTTGAGGAGACTAAACTAAATTTAACAAATATCTTAAAGTTAGCGGAAAGTGTAAAGACAGCTTTAATAGAAGAGGAGGATGGAAAAAACGTCTACCAAATATTAATAGGGGATATTTAGGGGAAGGTTTGCCAACAGTATATTAGGGGAGATACAGATGTAGCCACTTGTTAGTCAAATGCTGTGTAGCAAAGGAGCAAAAAGTTTAAGGCTTCGGAATAGGAAAAAAAGGTCCATCAAGGCTGTTTAAAAGACATTTCTATGTTTTAGGTTTGACGTCTTAACTCTAAAAGAGACTAAAGGACCGAGGGGTGAAAAATATTCTGTTTTCAACTGCTGTTTTAATTATTTTTTGGAACAGCACACAGTCAAGTGTGCTGTTTACAGCAACCTCTGCAGTGAAGAGTGAGGGAGAGAGGGCTCTCACGCTAAAATTCTAACACTCGTACTCCACCCCTTGAAGGCGAGTGGACATGTTGATCAAAATGTTGCAAATCTGAAACACAGATATTTGTCAAGAAAATTACCTGAGAAAGTTATGTTGAAGCCCTCGTATGAAATAGAAAAGTCGGAGATGAATCGGAGCTGGGCTTTAAAGTTGCCATAGAGACCGGCATTGATGTTGCTAGGCAACTCATTGCCAGTCAGACGAGCCAGCGGTTGCAGGAAACTACCATTCTCAGTCACCAAGAGGTAATCGTGTTGGTCCTCCAAATGGAATGAATTGAACTGAAACTGGACTCCTGTTTGACACACACACACAACACACAATGAGAAGGAACAGACAGGAAATACATTAATTCTCAGTTGGCTGCTTCTCCAGCTGCATGTATAATCAGTATGAATCATTTGACAGTATGATCACAGCAGAGACAGATTGAAAAACATTATATATGCATATATTATTTTAGCATGTGTTTATAGATTTTTAAATAATGATCAGCGTCAATGTGCACATGGCCTGGCTTTGTTGGAATTTACATACTGAAAAAAAGAAAAACTTTCTAAGTTTCTGTTGCAATATGTCACGTGTTGCGTATATGTTCGTGCCTCTATGCTAACATCTCTTACCTCTGCCTAAGTAGTGAGTGTGTGTATGTGTGTGTGTGTGTTTCTTGCCTTTAACGTGGCTGACTTCAACAGTCCAGGTGCAGTTGAGAGATGAAGGGTAACTGTCTGGATAGCCAGGGCTGAGGATGGTTCCCCAGGGGCCTCTAACATCTCCACCACATAGAGCTGGATAGATTGGACGGACAAGAAGAGTGAGTTTGAAAGACACAGGGACATTAAGGAGAACGAGGGGGTGTGTGGTAGTTCAGTACCAGGATATAGATACTGAAAATCAAATAATGTTACCCTGTGGATCTCTAACACCATTCTAGCCTCAGGGGCAACACCTCTACCACAAAACACACACTGGTTTTCAGAAGTTATGAGTGCTTCACATAGACATGTTACATTCCCTAACCATTTACCTTAACTATTACACATACAGTATAACTAATCTTAATCCTTACCCTAACTCTAACCCATCCCTAATTCTAATCCTAACTTTATCAAAATTTCAAACCTATTTTCTTAAAAATCAAATTAAGGAGCAGATCAGCAAACACGTGGCTCCGAACATGTGACTTAGGAACTGATCCACAGAACATGGAGTGATTTTCCTAACCTGAATTTGAACATTCACTTGAACTGAACATCCAAGCTACTACTTTTCTGCAAACTCTGTGCAGTGAGGAGGCAGCATCATCTCACTAGGATTTAGGTTTCAACATTAAACAGTGGGCCTTACAGATGTGCTGTAAAACATTGTAAAACTGGATTTTTTTTTTAATTTTTATTTTGCTGCAACCCTGCAAGTTCTGCATCAGGCTCAGTCCTGGACACTGTGATGCAGAAAAAGGACCGTGTTGGCACGGAGATACTCAGAGTTGAAACCAGGTCGTCAGAGATGCTGGTGGGGAGGGCAAAAAAAAAAAAAAACAGACGCTCCTTCTGTGCATACTAATCCATCTATTGCAGTGTGCCTGATCTCTGCTGCCTCTGGTTGGTCCACCTTACAATTAAGCAGCTGTCCTGTCTGTTTCTCTTTTGATATACCTACAAAAAGGCCACCATGTCACTTCTGAAAGTGCAGAATTGACAGAGTGGTAACGACGACCAAATCTGAAAGATGGGCAAATGAAGTGTTTAAGAAGAACTTGCATAGGTATAAGGACTTCATGTCCAATGCAGATGATGTAATTTAAACTCTTTCACTATCATCTTCCTCTTTACGTGACACTGACATTAAACTTCAGACACCAAAATCCTTTCTAAATTCTTCAATCTTCTCCTTAATTACAAACAGTTTGACTTCTAATATATAGGAGCATATTTTCCTAATTTGGAGAGAAATTTTGTTTTTTAGGTTTATTAACAAAACAGTAGTTGATACTAAAACTGAATGCTAAATTCAGACAATATTGTTAAAGGTAAAGGATAGCACTATTCAAATATGGTTAACCTGTGAATGAACCATCAGGCTGAACCACAGGACTGACACAACAGTTCTACCTTTGGGTTTCTCTCATCATTCCTCCTGTTCTGCTGTACCATTAATGTGAAAGAGGGCAGTAGAGAGAAGGAGAGAGGGAGAGTCCCCCCCCCCCGACCTCCCTCCCTGCAACTCACTTCACCTCCCCCACTTCACCGTTGTGTCCCCCATCCCTCCTTGACGTGTAGCAGAAAAATGAGGAGGTGACAGCCGACATAGGCTCTGGTCGGCCTTAACTCAAATCTACAACGGAACCTACTGTGTTCACAGCCCTCACAGGGATGTGGCTGACAGCAGGCCCACGGACAAAAGCAGGACACGGGCTGAGAGGCACAGAGACTCTACGTGTGTGCACATGGGCTGACACAAATGCATACAGACATACAAACATGTATACATGCACACGCCTACACAGAATTATACAATCGCCAATATACCCACACTGTCACTCTGGCTAATTATACCCCTCAGCTACAGCTGCCACCACGGTATAGATCCAGAGAAAGTGAACAGTACATTATGTTGTCCTGTGTGCCATGTGTGTGTGCTTGTGAGTTTCTTTGACCTATTGAAGACCTACTCTGACAATGTTATAGAGTCCATCAGGACCACTTGTCCCATTGAGGACTAAACCTATATCTTCATCACAGTAATTGCACTCAAGCTTAATACAGGCTTGGCCAATGAACTACCAAATACGGAACGTAGTATTTACAAAGTTGACTAGATGAGGAAGCAGGAGAGGGCACTGTAACCTCATCTGTATCACCAGACACCATCACCTGTCCTGATACAAGTCCCCAGTGGCTCACAGGTGTCTGTGCGTATGTGTGTGATTCACCTGTTTTTTTCTTTTTCAATTCAGTTTTATATAGGACACAGCGAGTGAACGAGTAGCTCCATCGCTGAGGGTTCTTATACACTGGCCTCTTAAGGCTTGTTAGATAATCATTTAATGTCCTCAAAGTGCTTTTGCTGTACGCTTCTTTTGTGTAACGTTTCTTTCTTCACAAAAAAATATTCCTACTGAAAACCAAGTTCTTTCTAAAGAACATTAGCTGAAAAACATTTTAAACCAAAGTAGCTCAGCGGTGCAGAAGTCAAGATGACCTTGAGCTACTGTACTTATGGTCTGCAGGAGACAACACAGACGCACAGCGAGCAATGTCTACGAAAATCTGAGTTTCATTTCTCTCGATGTTTAAAATTAGTTATCGGTTTAATCAACATTTTATCATTGAGATCTAAAACAATTTGAATTGTAAATAATTCAACCTCCAACAAAATCATCTTAAAGGGTGTTTACCATCACACGTAGGTAAAGGGTGACTCCACCAATGGTTCTTCTCACACACCAGTGGTTCCTCGTGGCTCAGTCTGTAGCCGGAATCACAACCAAATGACACAGTGGAGCCAATGGAGAAATCCTGCCCATAGCGGATTCCATTGACGGGGATACCTGGATCCAGACATGAGTAGCTGTCCACTGTAACGCCTGAAGAAGAAAAATGTGTTTTAGCCACTGAAACGACTTGCTATAACTTCCATGGCATATAAAAACAACAACTTTAGATTCACATCACCACAGTAAATGTTCACTACAGCACCTTAGCTGGATTCCTTTCCATTTACTCTTTGCAAAGCTTTAATGTGCAGCACATCACCAGGAACATTAAAAGCCTCAGTCATGAGAATTTCAAGGACAATTTCTCTTTGTTTCAAGTTCATTTTCCCCTGAGCCCCCGCTAATTTCTGACCCTGATGTGCCCCTTAAGCCTGACATTGCATCTCGTCAAAGTCACAGATGGTCCACACTTACAAGTGCGTGCTGTGCAGTCATGGTGGTTTACCTAATGACTCCACTGGAGGCCTCCTTGCATTACAGTCTGTCTAACTGTGCTTGTCTGTTCAGGGATGTCACAGTTTGGTGTCTGTGCTGTGTTGAGCATTAGTGGTTTTCTAAACATTTTATACAGAAACCATCAATGTGTTGTTATATAGAGAAGCTAAGGACAGATTTTCTGTGCGTGGCCTTTGAATCTTTGTGTGTTAGGACATATTCGCCTTTGTTTCCCACTTACTTTCGTATAATATTTTAAAGCCAGCGTTCGATCGACTGTTGTCGGTGGTAAAGAGCAGATAAAGGAAGTTGCTGCTGCTGAACAGGAACTGTGGAACCTGGGTGCCGTTGAAGGAGCCGACCAAAGGAGACAACAGGTTCGGCCCATCGTGGATCTCCAGGAAGTCATAACCCAGCTCTGTCTGGAATCTGTGAACAAAGATAACAAAGTACTATTTTACATATGGCAAGGATTACATGTATAACAGAAGCCAATGGGAAGATCTGAGACAACAAGATAAAAAATGTAAATAAAACTAAACCTTTTAAACTGAAATCAGTGTATCTTCACCACTTCATAACTCAAACACTGAAATACTGGGAGGCAATCTTGATTTACAAAAGAAACTGAATAATGATGCCAACCAGTGAAATTGAACGGCCTTTTAACATTCAAGGTAAATCCTCATTAACATTTTGTTAATCTCTGCTTGTCGAATTTTAACGAATATAGAATTTGCTTGATCTGCATACTGGTGCACGTTTGCTGCCCTCAGACAGATTACAGTACGCAGAAGAATCAGAGATCAGAGAACAGTGCCACCCACCTGTCAAATGTGATTTTGATGGAGCGTCCTGGTTCTGATTCAATCACCCACTCACAGCTGAGGGAGTCTTTGTAGTAACCAGGCCACCCAGGAGACAAAATCACTCCACTTGGCGCTGAATAGTGGCCTCCACACGGGGCTGGGGGTTGAACAGAGATGGACCAGACAAAAGAAGGTGAATGCTGATCTGCATTATCTAAGTCTGTTGTTCAGCTCTAATCAAGTCCAGACCTGAGCTGATAGAAAACGCCGAGGGGAAATGATGACATGATTTGGGAAGTTCAACAAGCACAACACACAATTTCAATCAGATGCTCTGAGATTTGGTTTGTTAGAAACTCCGTCATTGAGTATTTAATCCTAGGGCTTGACCGCTCTCTCCACAGTTTCCCTCTTCCCTATTTACAGTTTAACCTGCATTGAACGTGGCCTATTTTTGCCACAAAGGGCAGTGGAACAATTTTATAGCAAAAACAGATTTGAAACATTTGAGTGTTGTTTCATTGAAGGCTGTTTCTCATTCAGACATTAAGCAGATTCGGGAATTGCCCCTCACTGAGGTGTGGCCTATTAGTCATGCAAATGTGTTGCGACTGTAAAAGGTTATTCTCGTCCTGATAATCACTCACGGTGCTTCTAAACAATATCCAATTTGCACCCTTTTTCATTTACAGTGAACACATTAAACAGCTTGTCAAGATGAATTGTTTGAACACGTGAGAAATCCATATTTGCATGAAAACATGTGACATGTGATATAATTATATTATAAGTGTTTTAGAAGTTATAGAAAACATTCCTCCTGTAGCATCCAACACAAAAACGTCAAACAAAATGTCTGACAGCAGGTTATTTCCACCTCATTACCTCTTTTACACTACACTTATCAAACAATACCAATCGCACTTATGGCTCTTTTGATGAATAGTTTATTAACAGATCTGGTCAATATTTACCTTCACATTTAGGAATGGGCCCACTCCACATGACTTTTCCTCGTTCCAGCTGACATGAAATGGTCTCGCTTCCCTGGGTTTTGATGAACCCATCCTCGCAGACCACGGAAATGGAGCTGCCAAGCTGGAAGCTGTCTCCAAAACGCCGGGCGTTGATGGGAATGCCGGGGTCTGGGCACTCATTATGGCCGAACGCTTTGGTGCAAAGTAACACACAGACACACAATAATGAGGCAGAGGCAGAGACGGGCGTCAAAATCTGATCTGACTGAACAGATTTTAAGACTATAAAGTGTGACTCTACAAAGTCTACTGACAACCAAAGCAATGCTTCGTGCGACAGAGGCAAAAAAAAAAAAAAAAACGATGTTTCGTGCGACAGAGTGAGGCAAAAAAAAAAAAAAAAAATCGCACTTATTTGCTAACTTCAATAAGTCAGGCTGACCTTAAAAATATAAAAAGACAGATCTATACAGAATAATTTGAGCACAGACCAGTGACGCTCTGTGAGGAACGTTATGGATGAATGATTTCAGCGCTGCAGAAGAGTGTCTGTTTGCCATCAAAGGCACAGTCAGCAGAGAAGATCAATATCAATTTCCATCTGTGTTTGTCCAGTATGGAGACGTGTTTAGCCTAAATTAGCTCAAAGTCTGCAGACGCTTCACCTGCATCAAAGATGAACAAATATGCCTGCCACCAAATCCAAAAAATGCTCCACTGTTTGTTGTGCACGTTGCATCCTTCTTGTTTCGTCAATGCTTTAAAACAGGGGTCCTGAACCTATGGCTCGCGAACCAGATGTGGCTCTTTTGAGAACTGCATCTGGCTCTCAGATAAATCTTAGCTGGTACCTCTTAACACAGTAAGTAATGAATAATTTCGCTGCCATTCAAGTATAACGTCACAAAAATCACCGTGTTAAAATAATATTAAAAAAAAAAACATTCATATGTATTCGCCGCGGCAGCGTTGATGTTTACGTTGCGTTAAATCATCAGCACGGTACGTCTGGTACGTCATCTTTTATAGACATAAAAAGTGAAAATAAAGTCAGTCCATTTTGGAGCAACACACACACAGGACTAACGCTGAAAATATAAAGTAAATAACAGTGCAATTAATGATGAAATTAATACAATTTAATTAATTAAAGACGGAGCTCCAAACATGTTGCAACCTACCACAAGGACAGCAGAGCTCAACTGTTGCTCTCCGGGGTTCACGACCCAAATCAGCAGGGGCGTTGCATTTAATGACCGTACGATAAATTAAGGCTTTTCTTACGTGATGTGTTTTAAACTATTGTATGGCTTTTGCTGGACAAACGGGGGTGAAACACTGACAGTCATTTATATTTTTCCCTCTTCGTCTTATCAACGGTTAGATACTCCTTCCTTAGCTACTACAATGGCCACAACAACTGCCCTTGACCAAGTAAAACTGGTTGAAAAGAGGCATTGAAGATCTTTAAAAAAATGTCCTTAAAAATTACAAAGATTAAAAGCTTAGATTTTGACTACGACAAATACATACAGACATCGCTGCGGGGCAACAGAACTTTTTTTTTTTTTTTTCAAAAGTATGACTTTTTTGGGCCTTGACCTATGTGGAAAACATCTAAAACATCTTAAATATTAAACCTTGACTGATTCTGATCTTGAACACTACAAGCAAAGAAATGAAAATACATCAACAGAGGCAACGCTAGTCTGACATACCAGGTCAGATCGAGTAAAATAAAAGTCTAGTGGAGTCACATTACAGAGCCATAGAAATTTGACAATTTCCATGACTGAATGGTGATGTAGGAAAGTATTTTACATTTTTTAAAGGAGGATTATTAATCTGACACTCTGAGCCAAGGCCAGTGCGATTCAGACAAAAATTCAAGTTAAAGACATGAATAAAATTCCTGTTCAGATATGGTTTTGTGACGCACGATAATTAAATACTGGTAGGTCAGCAAAAGTCAGTCTGACCAAAATGTTTGTCACAGGAACCCCAACTTTAAATGTTGTTTACTGTTTTGTTTTTCTCATTTGCTTACTTCGAACTCTAACAGAGATATTTGGCATGAAAAGGGCATGATGTTAAAGTTTAACGTTTCTCTGTGTACTTTTGTTGTGTTCTCCTAGAAAATGTATGAATAAACACTTCAAATATAGTCAAAATATCTTCCAAGCCTATGGTAACATCATTTGTTACACAGCTAGTGCAGCTAATGTGCTACTCTTGTCCAAATAGGACAGATGCTTAATCCTTTCAGGGACATGAGGGGAGCTGGAGCCAATCCCAGCAGTCAACAAGGCGGGCGTGGTACCCCCAGGTCAGTCCGAGTACCAGTCCAAAACAGGACCACATACAGAAATTGAATAATAATCCGTCATGCCGTTGGACTGTAACTAAATTAGAACCTAGGGAGACATGGGGAGAACATGTCACGTCCATACAAATACACCTGTTTTACCAGGTCAGGTTTTCCTCCAGCCTGAAAATCAATTCACTTTGTGTTGTGGTTTTTGACTTCACTTGGTTAACAGAAGTCGTCCCATAGTAAACAATGCCTCAATTTCCCACTATATTTATCACAATGGCCAACCTAAGGGTCAGAATTCCATCTTTGAAAACACTGGTCTAGACCGCATAAAGGATGAAATAATGTTGCATAAAGACGTTAGTTTCCTCACATCCATTGCCAACATTTGCAGTCTGGACTGTTAGTCATGCATAAAATGCATTTACGGTTATTTGAGAAATGTTGCCCTATGGTTTCAAAACAGGACCATTTTTCACACTTTGCTGCATTATTCTGCTGCAGAGGAAAATAAATAAATATGAAGTCAAATAACCCCCCTCTGCCTCCCCCCACCCCCTCGTTCTGACTTTGGGCCAGACTTTTACTTGTAAGAAAAACTCTCAGATTCAGAACATAATTCATCCCATTTTGCATTTTCTCTTCATTTATGCAGGAAATTGAATCAAATGGAAGAGACAGACGTACTGCTATAAGTGATGTTAAATCCTCTCCCAGACATGGAGTGATCAGCCTGGAACTCCAGCCTCAGCGTGTTGGTGTTGGACGTCAGGTGGGAAGGACTCTCGGCGCCGGAGAACCTCCCAATGATGGACGCATCGTTTGTCTCACCGTCTTTCACTGTTAGGGCGTCGTAGGGTGCCTCCAGGTCAAAGTCATTAAATGCCAAGTGGATCCTGGAGCCTGGCTCTGATTGGATGAGCCAGACGCAGTTCATGTTGTTCCCATAGCCTTCTGGGTAATCGGGAGAAAGGACGGTACCGGAGGGAGCTGTGAAGTTGGACATGCAGGGGACTGTGGGAGGAAGAGACCCAGAAAATGAAACACAAAGTCAGGCCAGGAGAGAGGGGAGAAAGATTAAGTGGATGTGGAGGAAAATCTGTTAAATATTCATTCTCTTCAGCTTTGTCGCTTATAATCCGCTGCAGGCCATAATAAACTCTGAACTGTCAACATGGAGGCAGGTCAGGCTGACTGTTATCGTCGCTTCAGCTGAGTAAAAGTCAATTCCGTTCCACATTTTGTCTGATTTTTGGAGCCTTATACTTACAAATTGTTTCTCCACACATTAGCTACGTCTACTCACATATGCAGATGGGAATATTTGCAGACCACTGGTTGTTGTCCTGGCAGGCAATAGTTCTCTCCCCGATCAGCTCAAACCCAAACTGGCATTCAAACCTGAGGATTCCGCCATTGGAGAAGCTGTCTCCCTCTCTGATTCCATAAAGAGGAGTCCCAGGGTCACCGCAGCTCTCTTTGTCGATTTCTGCACAGACACAGTATCAGTTAGACCCGTCAATACGTACTGGGCTCAGGTGGGTTCTGCTGCAGCCAGAAACAAACCTAAAACATCAAACACTGCAGGTACCTGGAAAGATAATTAAAAAGTACCATAATAACTGGGGTGGAACTTGCATCAAAGAGCTGAGAACTGTGATGGAGCTGGAGAAGTACACTGGAAATGTAATTGCACAAATGGAGGTAGTATTTTTGTACTGTAGATCCTAATGACGAGGTACTAGTTTCTAGTGCTTTTTTTCCACGTTACCATTTGTTTCATTTATCGTGTGAGACTACAAACAAAATAGACGATGAAAAGATGAAACAATGTGTCAAGTTGAACAAGAGGTGGTGCTAAAGTATCCAAATATCTGTGCAGCTATTAGTGTGTATCAACTGCTTATCTCTCTAAGTCCAAGGAAAACATTAAAATGTGGAGTTTGACTCCTGCCTCAAGTCGTCATTATGTTATATGCAAATAAAATAGCCAAATTCCTCTGTCAATCAGGCATGGATTCTATGTGAACTTCCCGATAAAGGGCTCAAATCTGATCTGCTTTTTCCCTCATATCCTGCTTCTGCTTAGGAAGAGAGTGAATGCCTTGTAGTTAAAAACACCTACACTATCGCTCAACTCAAAGTTATAGATGGTTTACTGTAGTTAAAAACACCTACACTATTGCTCAACTCAAAGTTATAGATGGTTTACTACCAGTTCAATTACCTGCTAGTGCTTTTTTGCCCTTCCACTTTCTTCTTCTTCTATCTTCCTAAATGAATGCACCAGGAATATTAGTAATAGACTGTCTAAAGTCTAAAATTCCCAGAATGCTAAGAGCGCCTATTCCAACAGTGTTAGCAAATTCTCCTCTGTTACGTTCAGAATTATTTACAGGAGTGGCCGGTGGCAGAAGGCAACGGTGCTTGTGCTTGTGTGGGTGACTCAGTTACACTTTGTGATGTATTACATTAATTTCCATCATGACACTGTCTTTATGAAGCTTGCCGACTAGACCAATCACAGCCTGCCCAGAAGCACACACACACACACACACACTCATACAAAAAGATACCACCAACCTAAAATACTGTAGGTCTGGACACAGCAGTTCAATTGGAACATTCCTTTATACTAAACACACACAAACACACACACAATTAACCTTTGGTGTTAGCAACAACGCGGCAGTGAGAGTCTCAGAGGGTTCAGCCTCCTGTAAAGTATATGTACAGTCCACTCACATACACAGTACGTGCTCTGCATGTGAATGAAACCTCAATACCATTTTGGAGATTACACATGGAGCACTAGTCCATTTCCTCCTATAATGTTCCATCATGTTCACACTCCGGAGGGACTGAGGTGCAGGTACAGTATGTACTGTATGTACATGAGCATAGGCTCCACTTAAACACTCAGGGAGACAGACAGACAGTTGAGTTAATGTTATATAATTTTTTTTAAGTCTTAAGGATAATTAGATATTTGATTTTGAGTGTCTGGCATTTTGAATTTATCATTCATAAATAATAGATTTTGCTGGCATTTCCCTGCAACTCAGCTGCTATTGCACAGCTGTCATGTCAATCATATGCACTCGGTATCTAAACCGTGAGAAGCTTCCTCCTATGCTTATATAGGCAGGGATTCAGAATGCCTGTGGTGAACTTCTCAGCCTCCACTGAAGACAACAAACGCCTGCGTCTATATCTTATGCACGTATCTATTGGATAAACTCTAAACCACAGCACATAAAATAACATACTTGAAGCTCTGGAGTTTCACAGAGACACAAACATGTCACTTTCCATGAACTTCTTGACAACTGATGCACCTGTGTCGGTGCAAAAGGCACAGATGCATCAATGGGTGGCTTCCCACTGACTTTGGCACACGGCTTTAGCAAAACTCCACCTGGAGAGCAGCTCCAAACAGGCGTACTCACAATAATACAAAACTAAATAAACGTCACAAGCTGAAAAACACAACACAAAAACACAACTGACTCTTCACTGACGATTCCTGTCAAATCTCATCGAAATACACTGTGATATAAATAAAATCTGTACTTGTATGCAGAGTTAAAACATTTCTACTAATAGGTCCCCTACAGATTTCTGTTCTTACACTGCTTTAATTTCATTGGTAAAAAGAACAGGAGGATAAGTCCATTAAAGAGTAGAATACATTTCAAGCAGGTCTGTAGAGAGAGAGCGAGAGAGAAAAAAGAATAACCCGGATCTTGAGCCTGTCTAATTAGGAAGAGGTGGTGTGAAACTCTGACCTAAAGAAGGACTTGTTCACATTGCGGGCAGCAGCACCGACAGCAGCAAAGTGAAATTCATCTCATTTATTAGTGGTTCATTCATATTTTATTCTGCTTTTGTCAAGACTCAACACAGGCCAATGATGAGCTTTGGAGGATTAATTTGAGGCAGAGGCAGAGGGAGAAGGACAGCAATTTTGTGTTCCCATTAAGGAACCGCTCAGAGCAAAAAAAAAAAAAAGAAGACAAAAACTACTTTGATTGATCTGCACACTTCACTGGGAATTTGCTTCATGACCTTGTGAGCAGCCTATAATTCCTCCAAATTCAGTGAATTTTCAGGATGCGTCTGTCCACAGGCTATTGTCTGTGTGCAGAAATGGCGGGTGACAAAACAAGACAACTCTGTGTCTCAGAGTCAATTTCTTCTCATTTTTGGCCGACTTAAAAGTCACTATCACTCCTCGTCCAATCACTGCAGGACAACAAACATTAGAAAAGATGAGTGTTACATCAGTGATTAAATCGTTACGTTAAGTGCAGGAAAAGGACGCTTGCCAAGAAAATACTTAGCAAAGGTTAGAGCTGTAGATGGTTTTCTCCCAAACATCCCTTCCGTTTATACTGGAGTTAGACAACAATAATAAAGACAGATGTATCTGCAGGTCCTTCATGATGAGGTTTTTTAAGTGAATTCAATGAAGAACAATAAACAGTGACCTCTCATCAACAGTGACCTCTCATTTATACTCTTAAATCTGCAGCAGAAGTCTCCATGAGAATGTTTTTTATACTTACTCTATTTTTCTCTTAAATCCGCAGCAGAAGTCTCCATGAGAATGTTTTCTTTTTAAAAAATGTTGATGAACTGACTATAGTCCAATGGGTTTATTTATGTTCACCTCCCTGTGACTTCTCCATAGTTAGTGGTTCCATTGGAGATAATTTGAAAACGTAATGTAATATTTCAAGCTGTAATAAAAGTATTCTGAGGGATATTTTTATATAGTATTATTTTTCCTCCAGCCTCCAGTGCGATATAAGCCGAGAGCTTCAAGATAACCTTCAACAAATCTGAAGATGAGAAACGAGTAGAAGATAGAAAATCAAGTAGCAGGGCAAACAAAAAAGAAATTCTCTCAACATTCTTTAAACATTGGGGAGGCTCTGTAATTATTTGGGGCTACATTTCAACCAATGAGGTTTAATATTAGAAGAAAAGGTGGAAAGCCTGAATGTCCTAGTGTGTAAGTGCCTTCACTATTTATCCGTGAGATTGAACACATATATATCATCTAGCAGGTTTGTCAAGAGGCAACAAACATTTAAAAACCAATTTGAGAAAATGTAAAAATACTTTTTGCAATAGCTAAAAAAATATTATATTATATTATAATTTGGAGTCATAAACATGGAAAACAAAATTGCCTGAAGGTGAATGTAAAGTAGAACAGAAATCAAAACTGTAATATGTGAGTAAATTAACTTTTTTTTTTTTTTTTACCCTAAGCGTGGTCAGTAATGTTGTGCTACTGTATGTCATTTGTAAAGAATGAAGCATAAATGAAAAAAAACTCCTGACGGCAGAACTAATACATTTTTAAAGTAGAATCTAACTGAATGGCCAGAGGGATAATATTTCTGCACTACTGCCACCGGTGTCTACAGGACAGAACTGACTATTAGACAGATTAATTATTCATGATCAGAATAAGAAACACAGTTAACGGTGCTGTGATTAAAAAGCTGCTGCAGCTTTTCTCAGGTTACGGTTTGAACATACACACACACACACACACAAAAACACAAAACACTTGGGCTATTAAAGGAAAAATGGAACCCCCTGTTCTGGTCATATTGTGAATGAATATTTGATGAATTTGTGTTCCATGCCTGTCCAGCCACGCTGAATAAAATGCTTTTTAATGCCGATTTAAAGAGATCTAGTCAGGATCTGTACACCTCAACACTGGGCCAGAAATCTCGGGAGACACAAAACAAATTGATGACATTGTACCCCTACTGTAGAAAGTACAGGAAGCTCCTAGAAACGTGAGGTTATCTGTGTGTATTACATCATTTGAGAATGTTCTTCTGTGCAGCGTTCTGTTTAATTCCTCTCACCTTCCATATCCGTACACAGATACTGCACTGCTTTGTAACATGTATTTAGTTATTAGGAAATGCTTTTTCACATTGGTGATGAATTTAAACACAAACCACAATCTACCAAATATTTCATCCTTCCATCCATAATCCAAAAAATACAGCAGAATGAGCTAAAATAGATGCAGATTAAAAAATAAAAAAACATATATAAAACCTGTGCAAACCAAATATTTCAAATATTTCCTTCCATCCATAATTCAAAAAATACAGCAGAATGAGCTAAAACGGATGCAGATTAAAAAAAAAAAAAAACATATATAAAACCTGTGCAAATTGCATTAATAATCTCATGATTGTATTCGCAGCCCACACACACACACACAGCCCATAGCGCCGTTAAAACTGGAGTCAACTACGCTGTAAAAAACCACCTTGACATCCTTCACTCCTATAAAACACATCATGTAATAAAAACCATAAAAAACAGATGAAAAACCTTAAAGGAGATGACATCATGATCTGGTGAGGAGAAGGAGAGCGGACATGGCAGAAGAGGAGAGAGATGGAAAAACAGAAATGCAAAAAGACAAGAAGGAGAGGAGAAAGAACAGGAGTGGAGAGGACAGAAGAGGAAAAAAAAGAGTGGTGTCATAAAACATAATGTGTTTGTTTTTGCTGCACAGCTGTAGCTACTTTGCTAATGGAACACTTTAAGATGAATCGGGTAATATTCTGCATGTGGAGCACAACAGGTAAAAACGTATTTGTCATGGGAATAACATGGCGCACCATCCAGCCCGCTGCTTCAACTGCAGCAGTGAAGCAGGCACTTGACGCCTGTGCTGAACTCTGTAGTTTTAAAGCACCATGTTATATAACAGAGACTGATGGGGAAATGCTGCAAATGATGCACTTAAAGAAGCCTCAGCTCCAGGGAATGACTTACTGTCGTGTAGAACTTCTCAAAATCATCATTTACCAGTGTTAAAGTGAAAAACGGATGAGAGTTATGGCAAATATTTTAAGTGCTTCATATTATTAATGGAAATAATACGTGGAAATGTTCAAGAAAGAATAAATCATACAAACCTGCAGACTGTCTGTAGACAAATCAGAAGACTATAAATACCTAAAAATCCATATTTATAATACAGCCTATGCATCTCTGTAGTAACACATCTTATACTGCTGCACTGGGATACTTAGCAGTCATAGTTCCATCAATATTAGTGGCTGAAATACAGCCCTAAACCATAACAGAGCCTCCCGTATGATTTACTGTAATAAAAAAATACATCAACAATCCCCACTGGAAGTTCCCCAGTTGCCGTTGATGAGCAGATTAAATCAGATTATTGCACAAATCACTACCACTATATAACCCTAACTACTGTATTGGTCATTTATATATATATATATATATATTTGTTTTAATATTCTTTTAAAACAGACCCCTGTTAAAAAATAATACTACTAAGTAAATATTCACTAAATATTCACTAAAGGTCAAAGGTCTGACTCTGCCATTTTTTTTAATTGACAAGAATCAGCTGTGACTCCTTAGTGGTGCAAGAAGCTGTTTCACTGCGTGAGGGCAAAACTGAATTCTGCCTCGTCACATACAGCAGCGGTGTGTGCATTCAAATTATGCAAAGCAGTGACAATCTCCACAATCCTCTCATACAAATGACCAAAAGTCAGAGGATGAGCCGGTCAGAGACGGAGCACAGCTGTGGCCACACGGAGCTGCTCCACACCATTAGGGCCAGATTTCGCAAACAAATTGAGGATTAGAGAAGCACAAACAAAAAAAAAAAGTTAACAATAAAAGATGGACATGATTGGCATATGTATTAGAAGGGAGTTCAGAGGCATCTGCAGCAGATATGGATGGATATTCAGTATTGAATATTCAATGCTTCAAGTTTACATTAACACTGACATTTTAAAAGGTATTCCTAATGAATAATTATTATTATTTATGTGCTACCGTTGGGTGGTATTTATATATTTTTAGTAACATCTGGAGAATACACACGAACTCATCTAAGCTAGTTGGTAAAAATATGTCATATCAGGGACATTGTAGGCTAAAAAAGGCTTTGAGAGTACTGTACATGTGCCATGGTTTTGTGTCCACACAAAGAGACAGTCTATTGGACTCTTGAACCTCAGTAACGCCTCCTGGTAGAATGTACTATGTTTGATGTATTAGCCTAGGTTACATTCATTTATTCACAGAGTGGATGGAAGATCACTCAAAGTTATATGTAAAGGACTCTCTTATATCCACAACTGAAAGACCGAGGTGCAGGGAAAAAGAGAGAATGATTCCTGTATGTAGACATAGGGGGCAGTGTGAGTGTGTGTGAAGAGTTGGACTGGTGACCTTGGGTTTCATAATAGATGAATAGTGACAAGAATGAAGTCAAGGGATCTACTGAATGAGTGACTGTGTGAGTTAATGAGTGAGTTTACATGCAGTGAGAGTCAAGCTGTGGTTGTAGCTCAACTGCCTTTCTGATTGGACCGCTGTCCCCGTCCCAGTATACCATCATGACAGAGAAACCAATACATTTACAGTTTTAAGTCTGCTACCATGCACCAGGGTATTCTCATTCATTACCTTAGTTGTTGGCTAGTTAGCTAACAGACAGCATGAAATCCAAGAGATTCACTGATTTTAACTTAAAGACTGTAGTACATTGTTGTTGTTTTTTTTAAAAAAAGACACAAGTCAGTTTCTTAAATGCTGTAATGCTAATATCTTGATCCTTTTTTTGTATATTGTATTTGTGTTATTTGAATGAGCTAAGAACAATGCAGAGTCAAGTGACAAAAACATGAGAACTGAGAGTGTGCCGGCAAATGCACAAAAGTCTACCTACTGCCTACACAAGACATTTGCTAGAGGTACTAAAAGTGAATTCTCTTTTCTACTTTACTTGTAAATTACGGTCAGTGACGCCACCTGCAGTGAACAAAGTCATCTGATGATTGTGTTCATCTGACCTGACAGATGTTATAGCCAGCCAGGCCGAGTCAGGCCAACGTTTAAATGAATTTCAAAAGCCTGATTACAGTCAGAGTAACACAATAATTATTTTCTTAGACAAAATACTAAATATCTTCCAATAGTCAGCGGTGTGTGATAAAAGAACCAGGATGATTTAGAAGGAGCTGCTTCACAGCAGGTGGTTATGAGCACAAGGTAAACAAGACCGCATCAGACAGGAAGAAGGAGGAAATGAAAAAGAATAAATATGACGGCCAGAACAATGGCTAATGAGGAAGAAAATGGTCAGCGGGATGAAGAACCAAGAGAAGGATGAGAGACAACAAGTGAGAAATCACATGGATGTATGACTTGTTGTTTCACACAAACACACATTCAAACACAGACTCACACAAGCCTTCATCCATCATTTGAAATATTGAATCTCTGATTAATTTTTGATCAAACTGGTGTTTGAGCTAAAAAAAAAAAAGAAACCACTGCAGCGAATATGAGCTTATTCTTTAAAGAACAGAAACATGTTTCTAAATGTTAGATTTTGAAATACAATCACTGCAGTGTGTATGTCGCCGAGTGTTATAACCGAACAATGGAGCATTATAAAATGCATGGATGCCTTTAGATGGTCTTACTCCCCATTAATTCTCTTATTGATCTCTGTGGGGAAATTACTCAGGGAAAAAAATGAATGTGGAAAATGTGGAGGCTGTAAGCAGATGCAGTTTATAACTTCAAGTTGTTTCCTTACAGAAAAGTGCAGTTAGGAAATAAGCAGTGTTATGGATGTCTTGCCCTAAATTAAGTGAAACGCACAATTACTCTTATGCATTAGGTAAATTATAGTGCATAAATGTTATTAAATACATTAGCAAAGTAACAACAAAAAATCACCAAGATTCAATTTGTCTCAATGTTTTTGTTAATACCCTTTTCTTTTCCTTTTAAGCTTCCCTTTAAATGCCATTTAGTATAATAATGTTTTTGTTTTTTTTTTAAACTTAACTTGAGTTTCTTCCTGATAATAAATCAAAAGATAATGACTCCCAAGTTTGGTAGTAGGTTTCTAAATCATTCCAGAGAGTGTGTTGTAAAAGCAACTAAACAGATGTTACAGTTTCACTTCATGAGACCAGTCCAGTGTTTACTGGACCTGCACCCCGCCTTGGGGATGTTATGAAGTGTTAGAGGTAAATAAAGCTGATTTATCCCTAAAACATCTCAGAAGGTTTGTATTTTCTCAAGCATTCGAAATCAAACAGACTTTTGGGCAAATACCAGATTTCTGCAGGACAGCAACTCTGACCACAACTCAACCAGTAAAACAAAAAAAAACACACAATGCCTTTCCTTTAAAATCCCCAAATTTCCCCTGAGCCAGTTTCTTTGAAGGGTTCATTTGAAAGGTTGACAATAAGCAAACTAATGCTCTCAGGAAACTAAGTGGATCTGGACTGGAACCACAGGTTAAGTGCAAAAATGTGTCCCTGGATGTTTGTACTTAGGTTAGAAAACTGTCTTTGTCTTATAAAAACATGATAAAAGTAAAGTGTAAAAAGAAGAAGAACAACTGGTGTGGAGCGAGTTCAAATTAGACTATATAATGAAAAATGATTGTAGGTGATGTGCTGTCTTCTCCTTTCTTAAGTGATGTCAGACATTCCTGTTAATTACAGTTTATTGTAACACATAAGTAGATTAAGAAGATGATTTGATCTGCAACAATTTGTCAAAATAACAGAACGAAAGAGAAAACAGACTGTACAGATACAGTCATCGTCTGGCAGATAAAAGGTATAAGAACAATTCCTACCTTTGTAGTTGATCTTAAAACCTATAGACCCAACGCTCTCATCTGACTGTAGGTGGAGCCACATCTGGTGAGTCATACTGACAATCAGGTCAGGGACGAAGCTACCAGACAGGCTGAAACACAGAAAGAAAAACGATTAATATTATTGACGAGTTGCCATTTCATTTATTTATTTCTCAGAAGCTCAAGTCAAATGAACTTTTATGAGAATATTAAAACAATTTGAAAACCCGTGAGAACAAGACTGTTTACATATGGACGTCCTTTCACAACACGACTTATTATTCTTTTGTGCATCACTGAAGTGCACCTGACGTGCTATCAGCCCAAATAAATCAAGTGGAATAAGTGATAAAGACGGGGAATTTCATTAATAACATTCCCAACAAACACTAGAAAATGTAATGTTCAAAGATCCTGCGGGTGAACTTAATTTAATTGCTATTTTAAAAAATGTAATACACTTTATTTAAAATTCCAACACCAAGGATAATTGCCTTCAGGAAAGGTTTGGATAAATAATGCAGTTATCAAATGTAGAATCTGCCACCTCTGATTCACAGAATAATAATGCAGTGGAGGCAAGTTTATATATTTATAAATCCCTAAATCACAAAGTTTCCCTCTGGGCCATTTATGATGCCCTGTATCCCAGGAGAATAAAACAAACTTCATAAAGAAGCAGTTTTATTTTTCAATATGAGACACAGCCGGGGGCCAAGGAGAGGTTCATACTTACACTTGCAATATAGTTGTAGGGTCTCCAACCTCACCTCCATCCCCTATGGTCAGAGTGTCATAGGCTATCTCCAGGTCAAACTCCTCAAAGTTGATCTGGATCACCTACAGAAACACACACACAAATACAAATTCAAATACATCAACTACAAATCAACTGAAGGAGACTGAAAACTGAAAAACAGAGAATTAACAAAGAAATATTCAAACTGTTTGTTTAAATGTGATCTCAAAGTCTGTCGTGATCGAGAAATAATGGGTAAAAAATACAAACATTTACAGAAATACAAATTACTATGTTCCAAAAATTCCCATTAAAAAAATAAACTCTGTACTGACAATTGATTCAAATCTGTTGTAAGTTTTCAAATGTGCTGCACATCACAAAGAGAATCAGACAACGGTGACCAAACTCAGACCATTAGAGAGCAGTAAAGCAGTGAATGCCTTTTTCTTTTTTTTCTTTTAGTAATTGCTCAAACTAAAAACACAAAAACAAGGTTCCTATAACCTGCTAACAATTCTTATTTTCACAAAGATCTCGCCATCCAACAACCACAACAACTATTATGTGAAGATTTTCACCTCTGACCGTGATGAATTGTATTATTATAATTATAGGCCAAAGGTCTAATGAGAAATTACATTAATGAATACATGGCATGCTGTGGTCAAAATTTAATTAATCAGAGTGTGCGAACGGCAGACGAAGATGATCGGCACCTTGTGCACCACACGCATAAAGCTGGCAGAATCAGCACGAGACTCACAGCTCAGATCAGGAATCATTAAACCAACACTTTCTGTTTTATCTAAGAACAGAGAGAAAGACATTTGGCAGAGGAGAAAAGAGAAAATGAAGACAGGAGTGGGGGAAAAAAGGAGATACGAGGGACAAGAGGGAACTGATTTGACTCTTAAAGAGGAGATTGAAACCTCATTCTCAAATTTCAGATTTTCTGATTCAATATACTGAACAAGGACTTAAATAAAACTAAAGAAATGGGATGGTTGCTGGGGCTTCCTGAGATCCTGAATACTGACCTGAGGTATTTCAGGGACATGGTTCTATTGGGAGTGTATTGATGAAAAATGCCACACCTAATATTTAGTTTGGTTCACTTTTAGACTGACACAGAGAAGATGGTGAGCAGGGAGGAAATAAGATGGAGAAAGATGAAAACTCAGCTTCTCCATCAGCCAGGAACCAAAATGAAAATGAAACCACCTGAGCCACCAGTCACCATGATACAGTATATAAATACATAACTACACTCCTGTGACCTTATATCGATGTGTGCCTCCACCTCCTCACTGTTATCTTTAGTTTGATGAATAGAACATGTGCATTTCTCACTGAAATCATCTTACAATCACCCTAAAGTTTGATAAGACATTTAGAAAATAAATTAAAATATGTCAATGTCCTTCTGAAAAAAAGTCACAGCCACTATAAAGTCAGTCCTTCTGAAAAAAAGTCACAGCCACTAAACATCTAGATCTTTATCTATGTATTCATTTTTACAATTTTATCTAAGTTTCTAGATCTATTTATTCATTTTTACAATTTTATCTAAGTTATGTCAAATACTGTCCTAAACCCTGCAGACAGTGCTCACTCTTTAACTCCTTTTTTTTTTTTTTAATTAATGCTGGCCAAAGGTAGGAATGAGAAGAAGAAATGCCTGCAGAGACAGAGGTGAAGCGTACTCCACGTGAAGTTCAACTACTGTTGTTGCAGTATCTGACTTCAGTAAGGAAGATGGACATCAGAGACAACCTGATGTGACTGGAAAAGACTTAAGTAAAGAGGGAGGAGGAGGAGGAGGAGGAAGGGAGGGGGAGGAAGTGAAGGAAGCTCTGTCCAGATGAAGCTCTGATCCGCCCATTGCTCACACTGCTGACTCAGTCTTATCAGCATGTAAGACAGCAGATTGGATTAAAGCATTACCTACAAACCTGCTAACCTTTCCCTGGCGAGTGCGCACACATAAACCACACACGATCGGTGACAAAGAGTCGCAGCAAAAGTCCCACACTCACAGACTGGATTGAGATGAATGTGTCTACTTTTGTGATTAGACAGTAACCGTTTTTACATATATCATATCATCCCGTTGAGCCCCAGTTCCGTCCTTCAACAGCAAATCATGTTTGACAATAAATAACCCCGAACCACAGCTTGGTAACGGCTGCTTTTACACATATCCTTTTATGATTTCTTGTGGCAGCGACGTTTTAGTAAATTTATGTTTCGTACGCTCACTACTTATCTCAGGAGATTCTGCAGATACAACGCATAATTCATGCACTTGCAGAGATTGTGGTATAAATAGCAGAGCTGATGATTAAAACGGGGGACTCAGACGTGGATTTAGCCTTACATGTGAGTCTGATTTATTCCCTTCAGGAAATGACACGGTAAACACAGTAATAGGTGAATGAAGGGTATTCAAAACACTGAGTGAGTTTTCGGTCCCCATTTCAAAACTTTGCGTTTCATGTTGTCTAGTTTGCCCGACCAGAGATGCATTAATATGTGACACTGCACTGCTTCTTGACTCAAAGGTATTTTCAAAGGTGTGTTACTTAGTGGCAGTGGTGAGTGGATGGCTGGCTACTAAAGGTGCCATTCATCTCTGTGTCTAAAGAGAGAAATGTTCCCTCTGCGGAAACTGCTTGCTGCTGGCTTTTATTTGAACGCTCCGTGATGTGTATTCCCTTTTTTGTTTTGCACAAAATATGAAAAATGAAGACTCCATAACAAAAAAAAAAAAACCTTGGAAGTACACACCCAGGGCATCAAGAAATAAACTGAATAGATAAAGTGAAAGTAAAGGAAGAAAAAAAGGTTAAATAGTGTCAGGGTAAGAAGCAGCTGAAGTAAATTGCTGGAAACCATGTCTGCTATGACATGTGTACCCAGCTAATGGAAATGATACACTTAATAATACACAGAGTTTCCCACACACTGCAGGAAGGAAAACAAAAGATTTATGGGAGATTTATTTCTATTTCTAGGGAGCCAAAATGAAAAAAGAGAATAATGTCACCAGTATTTCCCTAAAATTGGACTCAGTATAGATGATAGTAAATAATAACAATAATTCTGAAATAATAATAATATTAGAATTACCAGCTAACACTGCTTTATTCAAGTAGTTATTCTTGCTGTTCAGATATTAAAAACAAAAAGGTGTTATAGAAAATAAATTAAAAAGATTTGTGAAATTAACTTAAAAAAGTGTAGTTACTTTGTAAGGAGGTGTCGAGTAATTAAGTGTAGTTACTTTGTAAGGAGGTGTCAGAAGTACAAGACGGAAAAATTGAAATCATCAACTTTTTTTTCTTCGGGTTTGAAACTGAAACAAATCAATTGTTCAACAGGTTTATCAAACAGGCTAAGCTAATAACAAAGTTAGCAGAGAAGGAGAGGAAAGGTCACGTCCAATGCCACTTGGTTACAATCCCCTGGCCCCTGGTAATGAGGGAGGGAAACACAGCAGGCGTGTTTGATCATGCACTTTATAAAGAAGGAGGCTCTGCTGTGTCCACCAGTGGACTGCAGTCCAACTCCTATCCATCCAATAAAGAACAGACTAATGCCATATCAGCAGAGTTCACACAGCATTAAACACAGCCAGAATATAACAGCATTAAACTGAGGTTTTGTGTGTGTGTGTGTGTTCCTGTTGGTGTGTGTGATAAATGAAACTGACCACTCTACATATTTCTCCTCTCCTCTAATTGGTTGGTGTTCTTGCAAACATCCATCTCTCCCCCCCCCCCCCCCCCCCCCATTCTTTCTCCCCTTCTCACTGTCACCCTCCGTCTCACTCTTCTAATTGGCCACGGCACTTCCTCCTTCCATCCATCTATGGCTCCTAGCCAATGAGGCGACGGAATTGGATTTCTGCTTGATAAAAGACTTCTTTTAGGTTGTTGTGGGGGACAATGAAAGGGGGGGAAGGGGGCGCTCCAGTATGTAACGCCTGAGCTGTAACAAGATCCAGGGATACCTTTGCAGATGCAATTACTGTTGAGAATTTTCAGAGCCACCAGGTGAACAACATTCTCACTAGAAGTAAAGGCTGGGCACAGACAGGCTGGGCTTATAACAGATTGTCTGTGACAGCGTTGTAGTAAACCTCCAGCCTCTTGCTCGCTCTCCTTGAACGTGCTACTGCCAAGGCGGTGTAAGTTATAAGCCACCGTGAGAAGAGCCAGGCTTCAGCTGAAGGAGACTGATGGTGCACGGCTGTTGCAACTTAGGTCTTTTTTTTTCCCCCTCACTTTTGTATCATTGAGCCGACTCTGCTTGGTGTCTGTTCTCAGGGCCTTGCGCTGCACATGGACCCATGGGAAAGCCGATGCATGGCTTTCACTGTTGCTATGCAACAATGGTGTCCTGAAAAACACATTTGAATTCCATTGCTCTTCGGCTGGATGTTTAGTATTTTTTAACCTGAGCCCTTAAAATGTGCTTCGCTGTTTGTCCTGTCAAGAAGATGCAGAGCCACAGGGTTCTACTGACAGTGAGGCAGTGCAGCCATGTTGGGTAAGTGGCTTTACAGTGTAAATGTCATTCTGTAGTACAGAAAATTACATGAAATTACCCTTTATTTAACCAGGATTAAAACTAACCAAGATCCTGACCAAAAAAGGTCACAGTATATTTATACATTTAGACAAACCCATATCATACGAAAACATTCTTTTTGCCTATGATGCCTGGGTGTTTTTTGAGGTAATGTCTCAATTATTCATATCAATTTCTATGAATAGAACATGGTAATTCTTCTTAAACTGTGATTTCCTTTGGAAAAAAACATAAGCGAGAGCACAACAAATACACTAACAACCACTTATAAAATCATTTTCAGTCCCATTAAAGTAGAAATTTCAGTCTTTGAACCAGTGAAGCTCGTTCGGTCTTTCCCCAAGGCTTCACTTTGCAACAATAGTGCACAGAAACATACAAACAGTCTAATTTCTAACATAAGGTTTATGACAATGAATAATATTAGCCCTCCAATCATATTTTTTTTCTCAAGGTTGACCAAGAAGTAGAGAAAATGGATTGGCTCCAAAGGCCTCAATCTGCCAAAACTAGAGCAATATCATCAGAGAAACTACTGAATCCCATTAACACTTAACCTGGAAGGAAGTAAGAGCAGAGGGGGGAGGAGGGGTAAGGCTAGAGAGAGAGAGATGAAGGAAGGAACGGACTGAAGAAAACCACGGAGCATCTACTTTTACAGTACAATTAAAAATATTCATAAATGTTGGGGATGTGTCATACTGAATGTCGTTGAGATAAAAGTAGTTCTTGGTTATGATGGAGACTCAGAGAGAAACAGAGAGAGAGTCTGTGTCATGTGACATGAGAACCGAGGTAAAAGGGAGAGCGGGATGAGATAGTTAGAGTCCAGTCTAAGTCGTAAAAGGCTGATGTTCTGCTCGTGGGCGAAGCCACATTATGTGAGACCTTGGCCTCATTCTTAATGTGTTGTCTCGCTTTCATCACTCTCACCCCACTTCCTCACACCTTCCCCCTTCCTCCCCTTTACACTCTCCCTCTCTGAAACCATTTGGTGTTGTGGTGTGTGTGTGTTTATTTGTTGTCTCCTGCCCAGGGGATCAATTGACCACTCACCTGGCCACTAAACGCCCCCCCCTCCTCATTCCCTCATCAGCCCTGCTAATTGAGGACAGCTTATTACCGCCAGTGCAGCAGCCCATCAGAGCTGCTCGACGCTCCCACTCTCCTACAGCCATTCTTTGCTTGTTAACTGCTGTTTACCTGCCAATTCCCCACTGTTTGTTTGCCTGTGCCACCTGCACAACATAAGCCTGCTTTTAGACCTTGTGAATTACATTTTTTTTTCCCCATCGCCAGGAAGAGGAATGTGAACTCCTGAAACCTTAAGCCATATCTATCGCAGCACCACAACATCCCCGAGGTACAGCCGTGTCTCAAAAGTGTTTTCAGTTTCAAGTACAAAGTTGTTCAGCAAACGGCCCCTTCTCTTGAAGTACTACTCCACAACAACTAGAAGTTCAATTTCTTTCAAATGAACTGACAAAGTTCCTCGGCGTAGAACTTTAAATAACGCCTAATAAAGAGCATCCCACTGAAAGATTGATCCCAATAAATTCCTGGATATTAAAGTGTATTTGTTTAAATCCAGACAGAAATCAGCGGAGACACTGATCTGACGGCTCTGACTGCACGTTCATGAGTAAGATTAGGATTAAATAACAGGGATGAGAACTGTATGGTTTTTATGATGGACGTGGTCACTGCTGCGCAACTTATCTCTCTAAATATAAAACTTGATATGTACGTTTTTATTGGTTTGACAAAGTACCTAAAAAGGAGGAACTTTTGTCTGTTCAATGTGGTTTTAATGAATGTTGCTGAAGTCTATTGTACGCTCCTCAAAATAAATGTTCACAATAATCTAGTCAGTTAATGTAAAACACGGCGATCTCTTATTTGATGCAGCATCGCGCCACAATGTTTCAACGAAGCACGACTCCATCATATTACAGGAACGTCTTGTAAATAAGATACAAAGAAAAAAGAGGAAAAGGACATAAATCACAAATATAGGTTTCACATAAATGCTCTCTCTCTCTTTCTCTGTCTGTCTCTCTCTCACTCACACACACAGTGTCGAGGCTCATTATTATTGTAGCCTTCAACAGTCCCATACACAGTGTAGCCTTCAACAGAGGATGTAGCGCTGCAGGCCACAGACCACAGGCCTTGGGCAGTGTCAGTGAGAGTTGTGGTCCAGGTCTGGGTCTCAGTCATGTAGCGTCCAACCAGATTTGTTTGCCGCGTATCACTGTGTGGACATTCAGGAAGTGCTAATTCATTACATATTTCGGTTGTAAACATTTTTTTCAGGAGCATTAGTCAATGAGCTGCTACAGGGATGTTTTCAGGTGTGTAGCTGTGTGTGTGTGTGTGTGTTTGTGCAGTGATGTCGTGGTGCTAACGCAGGTGTTGCCATTGACGACAGCGCGGCCACCGCACTGAGAGGAATGAGGACGTGTCGCCTGAATACCAATCAGGACTCTCCTGGGACTAAATGTGACAAATCACAGGCACCGATCTGACCTCCAGGCTTTCACTGCAACCTCTGCTAGATTAACCAATGGCATGAATTATCATCAACACATTTGTAATGTTGTTAAAAAAAATGTATCCTGGTTAAACTGTAAAAAAAAACCCTCTGAACACTGCTGCGGTGTATCAATTAGACTACCGTAGATTGAATGCATAAAACTGAAATGGTGCAGAGCCACGGAGCCGGTTGTTGACGTGCCAGAACTGCTGTGACTAATGTAGTATTTCAGAAGCGACACTTCAACCTCATCTTTTAGCGGTTGGATTTGGATTCACTTTTTTTTTGAGTTATGGTTGCTTGGCATTTAGCTCGGACATCAATGCAAAGAAGTAAGTCTTACATTGGCCTTTGGTGCAGTAAAACACTAGTTCAAAACTATCAATAATAAACTCACGATGCTCAGATCAACAGATAGAATTAAATGAGATTTTTTTTTAAAGAAAGAATTTACAGTATTTTAAAAAATGTATCTAATGAATTAAAGGACATGTGACGTGTTTATCACTGTGGATCCTGTTTTATGAAATTGCAATGATTGACATATGTTTCTCAATTAAAATATGATTGGCAGCCAAATATAAATATGAATATGAATAAAAAAACAAACTACAAAATAGTCAACATTTGATATAAATATGAATATGAATCAAAAAACAAACTACAAAATAGTCAACATTCTAACTGGCTAGCTTTACTGTCTGCCTGTACCAGGACTGTCATAGTTAAGATTAGAACTTGTGCTTGAAGCAACATGTTTGCATTGAGGGTGTTGATTTTAAAAGCTGTGCTGACAAGAAAACTATTTCCTATACAATTTGGGGAAATAGTTTTTTTTCTCCTAGTGGCAGCTGTCACCTTGTACCATTTACTAAACCTGGCAGTGGCAGAGAAAAGAAGAAAAAAAAAAGTTTACCTTATTGGGATTTGAAGCAGTGATTATCCACACACACTGTGCATTGCTCTCATATTGAATGGGGAAGTTAGGTGACGTGAAGGTTCCGGAGGGACCTTGGAGGTTGCTGCCGCACGTCTTCACTGTAAACACAAGAAAATAGGGTCATTGTTATAAGCAAGGACTGTAGACTAAGATATGGATGACAGGACGAACCCTGGGAAACAAGGCTCCCAACCACAATTAAAAGTGACAATACTGGAAGGATTGAGATGGACAAAAAACAAATGCGTATAGACAGGAAGGAGAGAAGAAAGGACAGAAGAGAAAAGAAGAGAAGAGGAAAAATAGATGTTATTGATAGTGTCAACATCTCCCTGGGTAGAAGTGCTTAATTGGAAGCTATTGGCTGTGAAATACCACAGGATTAGCCCGAGTTACAGCACTGACACATCCAGACACCACAAGGAGACTCACTCCTAAAATCTATCCAGCAAAGTAATAATAACATTCAACCTATATCAAAAAAAAAAAATCACAGATCAACAGGTTGACTCGGTAATCCTAGCTTGACCTGTATTTACAGAGACAACAAAGCACAGTCGTTTTATTAATATGTACATAGAAAATAAACATTTTTGAAATTGAAAACAATTGCAGCACAAAGCTAAAATAGCATTATCTTTTGCCTTTAAGTTTTACAAGCATCAGACACAGTGGTAGCAGTTAACAAACTGAACTGACAAATTGTCTCCACATGCTCCTCACTACGTAGAAAAATAAAAACTAAAAATAATAAAACATTTGCTAATTGGCCAATCTGAGCTACTACTGTTACTGGAGCTTGATTTCAACAGGTATTTAAATCAACCCTGTGTCAGAATCTACACTGAGACTCACAAAAGGCTGCTGTAAACGACACATGCTACTTGTGTGATAAACCAACTAAGCCTTCATTAGACGGTGTGTACTGACTAGATCGGTTATAGAGAACCTGCTTGTCTGTCCTTGGTTCGTCCTGTTAAGAGTTTGGAGGTAATTTTCTGGTTGATTTGAAGCGGCGTTTGTTCCTTAATTAGTTTGTTCAATGGTGGGGACACGAAGAGTTACACACACGCAGACAAACACACACAACGCAAACCCTGACATGCACCTGTTTTACAGACACATGTGCACTATCGTTCAGAGGACACATTTACATCCATTAACAACACTCTTGCTCATACTCATCATTAGTGGTTTCACACCACTGTGCGCCTGTGTAACACATACCAACAGAGGGATATCAATTTACACTTCAACCATCACACACTGAACTGAGATTGTCCCTAAAAGGGAGTGGTAAACCACTCACCCCCCCCCCCTTAGGTCCCACCCCCGATTTGTATAAAATGATTAAACAGGCCAAATTAAACACATACTGTCTGGGCATACAAGACAGTGATGAAGGTGCAATCAGAGTGACAGATGGGTTCAGTGTAGGGGGGTTGAGAATGACCAGGATAGATGACCAGGATAAGAAAAACTAAAAGACCAACCATCTCAGGAGATAACTAATGTGGTGTGTGCGTCTCCCTCCACGGCTCCCTGTCAGTTGGATTTCTGCCTGACTTCCTCCTGACTGAATGCCATTTGTTTAGTTCTCTTCTTTTTTTTGCTAATTCTTAATGCATCTCCAGATGACCTTCTCCTCTGCTGAGCACACTGCAAATTACACAGTGACAGATACATGGCGATGAAGTGGCCGTCCTGTGGGACGCACGTGTCAAATGATTTATTTGCACGTCTCAAACAACACCAGTGCATCTTGGTAACTCTGGTATGTGTGTGTGTGTGCACATTGACAGCTCAATCAGCGTGGCCTGAACGAATGGCCGGCCTCATCGACGAGCCCGCAGCAGTATGGGCACGGCGTTGCTATAGCGATAGTGCAGAGAGAGTTATCACCAGAATTACCAGAGGAGCTTACATCCCATAATTTATATTAAACTCCATCCGTCTCTGAGCACGCGTCTGTCTGTCCCTTACTCAATCTTAAATTTCAAAGCTTTTCATTCACATTGTCCTGGACCCTCTCCCAGCCATTGTCTGTGCCTCACCATCCACATGACACTCCATCATCTGTCCTCCTTCATCTCTACCTACTTTTTTTCTGCCTCCTGTGTCTTTGGTATTATTGAGATAAACATTACTGCATTCAAAATTAAATCCCTGAACATTTTTCATGTTAATTACACATGCATAATGAATTAAAATGTTTTTATGTTAATGACATTTCACAAAACACACATCACACAAAATGATGGATTATTGGCAATTTGCAGCAGCTCTATATAGATTAAATCCTGGTAAAGAAAGTAAACAATCTCTTAAATGGTCACTAGTAGGTGTGTTTACATTTAGAAATATGTACCAGTACTAGAACATTTTACTATTGTGAACCATTTTAAGGGAACTAAATGGTTCTTGGCTACCATGTGTTTTTTTTATATTTAAAGTCTATTCAATCCTTCCTTAAGGCTGTGGCCTCTCAGGTTGAAAGGGTTTTTGTTCAACCACAATGTTGTGTTTAGCTCATGTAATAACCAGATAAATCTTGCAACCTTGTAGGATGATGAGGTCACGAACACGTGGAACAAGGAGAGGCAGAAACTTTTTTCACAAAGTCAGGGAGATACTGAGTTTTTTATGAGGACGTGTCAGAACAAATGACCAAGAAAGGTCTGTTTCTGCCGCAAGAGCTTGAAGAATTTAGTCACTGTGTTGCAGAAGCTTCCCAAAAAAATGTTATTGAAAAGTGTTATTTATGTAGTTTGAAATTGATTTCAAACACTGACCCTGTCTGTCAACGTGATTAACTCCTCACTTATTCTCTCTCTCTCTCTGTTTTTATACCGGCTCACAATATAGAGGGCATAAAGCCAAATGAGCCTTACTAATGAGTAAAGTGATAATGAAGTCTAGATTAAATTAAAAACTTTGATGAAGTCTCTCTGCTGCTAACGGCACGTAAAAAGACTGCGAGATGTGAGATTTACTTAATGCTCGAGGTCAAAACAGAGAAAACAATTATTACAGTAGTATCTGTGTGGATCATCACTTTTTCATTTTCAACGTATCCACTGGGTCTCCTCAATAATACTTTTTCTTTTCCACTCTCATTGCAACACACATACACAATCACAAATACACCATTGGGAGATATTCCAAAAAAACAAAATGATGTTCTGAGCATGAATCACATTTAAAAAAAAAAAAAAAAGCTGTCGCTCCAACGCCCTTGTTCGTAGTTCGTCAAAGTTCAGTTTTATGGCTGGGGAGCGTGGATGACACGCCCCATAAATACAGGAAAGGATTCTCTGGGGAACATTTCTGGATATGACATTAATCCCTGCATTATAACAGTCGGTGCTGTTTCTCTATGCCAGTGTTGTAGAAACTTATAATGTGTCCCACAATCTGATGTGGGCCTGAGACAGAAAGTCTGTGACTCAGCATGTTTTTACAGCACAGTCCTCCTGGTGCCTCTGCCAGTGTGAAGAAAGAGAGGTTTAGTTCTACAGTAGCAGCAGCAGAGAAACACAGAGTCGAGCATGAAGCACCACTAAAATCAGATGTGAGAATGAGAGAGGCTTATCACGTCAAAATATATAGTTCATTTTGCAAGACATGAGTAGGAAACGTCTAGCTAAAAACTGGGGGAGTAGATAGGGCAAGATTGAGGATAGCTAAAAAATGACTAAAGGCTACATAAAAAAAAAAAATTCGCAGAAAGATTTTGACAAATACGTTTCCAAATTAGGAGAAACTGCCTCCGAGGAAGACCAGAATATCTGTAAGTTGGCCAAATAGTGAAAGTTACACTTCAGAAATATAGATCTTGTCTGGAGAAACTATATCTTTTGAACTTCAAATTCTATTAAAAATATGTAATGTTTTGAATAATGAAACTTCAGGATTGGACTTATTTAAGAGATTTCATTAAATATAATTAAAGCAATGCATGAATAAAACAAAGACGTGTAATTAATGTTTCCTTATTTATATAATTAATCTTTCCTGTTAACAGACGTAAAAATGAATGAGCTACAGTGAACAAGGTCCTCAAGGCCATATTTTGAAACAACTTCCTGGAGGCTGACTTCTACTTCCTGTCTGTTACATTGAGCTCGAGTTCACTGTTTTTTCAGGTAAGTTAAGAAAATTAGAGCGCAAATGGATAACAGGTACGTTAAGAAAATTAGAGCGCAAATGGATATTCCACTGTCGATAAATATTCTATAAGAAAAAAAAAGTTTGGGGTAAAAACTTTGAACTTTGAAGTGTTGATTGTGAGTCTGGGCTGATGTTTTTGACTGGACACCACAGGAAGAGCCAAAGTGGTCGTTTTTGAACGACTGTCTACAGGAGCAGACACATTGACCAATGGACACTGAGGATGATTGATGACATCATTAGGCTGGCACGGCACGTTCCAACAGCCCCTCAGTCGGGCGAGATTTCTAATGGCCACAGACACACACACACGTGCAGATACACACACGGTGTGATGGAAACTTTCTAGTTGTACAGAGCTCTCTTATATACCTGCCTGTCTTTGTGTGTGTGTCCATCAGGTTGACATAGAGCAGCCTCAGTTAAGTCAGTATATACAGTCTGAACAACTCAGAACTCACACACTTACACACACACAGAGGGAG